AGATGTGTATAAGAGATTGCGTTATAACACAATAGATAGCATTAGAACACAATAGATCGCGTTAGAACACAATAGATAGCATTAGAACACAATAGATTGCGTTAGAACGCAATAGATCACGTTAGAATACAATAGAACACAATAGATTGCGTTGGAACACAATAGATTGCGTTAGAACACAATAGATCACGTTAGAACACAACAGACTGCGTTAGAACACAATAGATTGCGTTAGAACATAATAGATCACGTTAGAACACAACAGATTGCGTTAGAACACAATAGATTGCGTTAGAACACAATAGATAGCATTAGAACACAATAGATAGCATTAGAACACAATAGATTGCGTTAGAACGCAATAGATCACGTTAGAATACAATAGAACACGTTAGAACACAACAGATTGCGTTTGAACACAATAGATCACGTTAGAACACAATAGATCACGTTAGAACACAATAGATCGCGTTAGAACGCAATAGATCACGTTAGAAAATAATAGAACACGTTAGAACACAATAGATTGCGTTAGAACACAATAGATCGCGTTAGAACGCAATAGATCACGTTAGAAAACATTAGAACACAATAGATTGCGTTAGAACACAATAGATCGCGTTAGAACACGATAGATCGCGGTAGAACGCAATAGATCACGTTAGAACGCAATAAATCACGTTAGAACACAATAGATCACGTTAGAACGCTATAGATCGCGGTAGAACGCAATAGATCACGTTAGAACACAATAGATGACATTAGAACACAATAGACCGCGTTACAACACAATAGATTGACAAGTTTTTTCTGCAGGAGCATTGGGCTTGCCAGATGTATGCACATTGTGATCAGGTGACAGATACAAGCAATCAAACAAGCTGAAGATGGGCGTGACAAGTTTTTTTCTGCAGTAGCATTGGGCTTGCCAGACGTATGCACATTGTGATCGGGTGACAGATACAAGCAATCAAACAAGCTGCAGATGGGCATGGTGACAACGGGGCTAATCCAGCAATCTATAGTTTATGATTGGTCATGGCTGCCTGAGCCATAGTTTATGATCGGCCATGGACGCCGATTTAAGGTCGATGTGGCTGATGGAGAGCTTGAAAAGACGCCGATATCTCGAGCTGAAAGGCCCTACTCTACAGCCAGGCATTATCATACTTAGGAAATTGGTTTGAATCTTTAGCAAATGAGAAAATTATAAATGAACTGATTCTAAAAAAAGCTCAAGTTTGCTACTATGTTGAAGCAGAGATACCTGGTCCTACCGTCCTACGCAAGTAACGCAACCATCAATATACTCATGTGAAAAAAATGATTGATAGGGTAAACGCGGTATATTCCGACATCGTAGGTAATTCCGTCACCTCTCCAGCTTTTCCTTTATATTAAGCTTTGTTTTAGTTCCATGCGTTCATTGATGGTTGAAATAAAATATGGCAACATTTTGTGATGTTTCATTGTTGCTGACGCGTAGTGAAGTGTTTTGAGAGTCATGTGAAGGCAACAGAACTTACGTAACGCATACGTTTTTTTTATAGTTTTTCATTTCTCGATGCGTCCTTAATGTGTCGGAATATACCACGTTTACCCTACAAATTCTTTTATATTACAAATTTATCAGTAACTGGCATTCAGCAGTGCTGAATGCCAGTTACTGATAAGCACTGCAGCAGAATGGTTCAATATCATTTGTAAATGTTTTACATGCAGAATCCATTTTGTGCAACAGCCAAGCCTGCCAAGGTGGTGGGAATCTAATGATGGTTAGTGTTTACTTGTTAGTTCTCATTACGCAATCAGTGGGTGAGGTAACTACTAACTACAGTAGGTATGTGCACAAATGACTTATGAATAACAACAAGCCAAGCAAAATGGCAGACCAGCAGTTTTTGTTAGGGCGCGCGGAAGACATTTAGTTCTGCAAGTCCCGTCCAACCGAAACCTTTATTTGACTGGCTTGTGCTTGGAAACTAACAAAAAAACTTCAATTATGACAACACCATCTCATTTTTCGAGAAATCAGCGTAGTTTACTTAATTAGCGGGCATTCACTAAGGGTGCCATTTTGTGCTGAAAATAAAATGTGATATCGTATTACAAAATTTACCAAAATGTTATCAGAGCAAGCTATGCTAAGAGTTCTTTGAACATGCATGTAACATGTCAGAAGCTCTGCCTACCGACCGTCAAATAGTGATGGTGAGGTCTGATAAAAAGACAATTTTTGGTTTGAGATCTGACTGTGAATGACATCCAAAATGGCATTTGTGTTGTGGCAAAAACAATACATAAGATGAGACATATAGGAGGTATAGGACGAGACATAAGACGAGACATGTCCATGAGATTGGACATGAGATGAGGAGACAAGACATGAGACAAGACTTGAGACGAGACATGAGATGAGGCATGAGACAAGACATGAGATGAGACAAGACATGAGATGAGACAAGACGTGAGATGAGACGAGGCATGAGACATGAAATGAGACGAGACATGAAATGAGACGAGACAAGACATAAAATGAGATGAGACATGAAATGAGACTAAACATGAAATGAGATGAGACATGAAATGAGAAGAGACATGAAATGAGACGTGACATGATGATGATCAGTATTCAAAATTATTATTAAGATCAATATTCATTATTATTTATTATAATTAGTTAAGAATTAATATTATTAAAAATTAATAATATTATTATTACTAGTATATTTTATTTGCGTATTCTATTTAATTTCATATTTTTTAGCTAAATTATGGTGCCAAGACCATGAAACTGAAATTTATTCCATCCAATTCTGCCTTTAAGTTAAGTTATAGCAATCTTATCTAGCAGTTGCACCCATTTCCCCCACCCTCCTGCAGTCAAAGTCTCAACCAAAATGTTTTATTCTAGTTAGAATAGATAGCCTACAACAAGAGCTTTCTAATGGTGCTAAAAACTTTGAAATTGGCTCATAGGAAACCTACAAATGAAAGTTTAAAAAAAAAAGGGACAGAAGTTGGTCCATTTTTGGGGTGAAATTGTAAAAAGGAAAAAATTCATATCTTTTTCATTTTTGACCTACTCCACTCATACTTATATGATATTTTTCTAAATTTTTTTCTCTTTTCAGTGGTATAATTTTCATTACGATCAAAGGAAAAATTTTTTTTGTGCACATACCGTACCTAACTACAGCACATGCACATTAACTGCAGTTGCAGATAAAACTCCCAAACATCAAGACAATAATTGAATGAAAACGTTGTGATACCTATATTGTGAGCCTTCTCAAGTTTTAATAATGAAGAAATCATAAGGTTCACAGAATCTAAAGGTTTAAATTCAAACTTTTTCAGTACTCTAATCTAGTCAGTCAACTGAGTTGACTCAGTTGTGCAAGTGTCAAGCCCCACAAGTTGTGCATTGCGTTTTCTTTGATAAGTTTCTCCAATTGCCAATGAGTATCTCCTCAATTTGAAAGCTAACGTAATGAATAGGTGCAGACGTGCAGTAAATTTTTTTATACATTCAATTTGAAACCATTATGTTAAGAGTAAATAGTATTTCCATCTGTAGATCACTCTTGTGCATCTGTGAGTGATGCAGGCAATTAACAATGTTGGGAGTGGGACATTCTTTGTGTTGCCTGGCATTTTATTTATGCCAAAGCCAATTTCTGACAGCCTGCAAACCTGTTTAGAGTTGCCTGGAATGTTTTTTTTAAGGCAGAATGCTGTAGTGGTTCCCGGTAAGCCCGCACAAATATGTGAGACTGTATCTCTTGAGTCCTTGGTCATGGGAACAAATACTGAATGTGGTCAGAAGGAGTCACATTCAGGAAGGTATGAAACATGGAAAACACTAAACAATTTACTACTAACAAAACACAAAATACAAAATGGCAGATAAAACAATAACTGAACAGTACCTAGTCTAACTGAAACACTAGCAGTGGTGTCAGTTCAGCCCACTTGGTCTGGGTAAAGTGCTCTAACGAGTGGACCAATGTGGCATCTCAGCGTTGTAGTTTCAGGTAACTACAAGATAATAGAAAAGTGACAAATGAAAAAAATAGTTATTAACAGCTTCTGCTGCCAGATAACAATGTCTTATTCAAACATTAGCCAAGGCCAACTATGGTTTTAACAACCATATAAATATATATATATATATTTATATATAAATCAAGTAGTAACCACCATTTCATCCCTAGTAGTAGTAGTAGTAATCAAGTAGTAATAAAAAATCAAGTATTAACCATCCTAGGCTTCAGGTACAAGCCAAGGAGTGATAGTTGGCAAGGCAGAACTTGACCACCGGTGGAGGGATGGAGATCAATGCTGAGTGGCTTGTGGACCAAGTCACACACACTCACATACCACATCCAGGCCCCATACACTGCACTCAACACCATCACTCTTACGTTATGGCAGGAAGTATGGTACATTAAGGTACAATTGTGAATGAATGATTCTACTGGACACTATAGCTAATGTTCTGCGGCCCTCTTCAACACTTTTTTTAAGTGAACCACGTATCTTAGAATTCCATCCTGAGTGGGTGAATATTGCAAGATGTTTGGCAATGCTTCAGCAGCAAAATTTATGCCCTCAGAAGATCTTTCCGACACATTTGGATTGAAATTACTGCATTTTAGATATTCCCCAGTCTTTGGCCGACTATTTAGGAAAAAGTAAGGTTTCTGGTATGTTGGATTGATCAAAATGCAGTGAAGCTTGTCAGGAAATCAGTTGCAATGAGTTCCTGCCAAAATATACTGCAAAATTTAAACAAGTAGTTGAGGTCAATATCAGAGCGGTCAGACTGCATTATCACATGTTTAGTTGACACTTAAGTGAAGACAATTTCTTGAATTAATCCACTAAAGAAATGACTCATGTTCTGTTCATTGTTCACACCCTCCCTTCATTGTTGGGCATGTCAACTGCTGACTATACAGATGACTTCACTTTGGAGGTGACCACATTTGTTGGCAATGTAGGCAACTGTGCATTGCCTACAAATGGGTTGAAGTCAACTGGGAGGTGAAAACAGCCTAACAGGACTCGTGGAGAAATTTTTGCCACACTTATCAAAGACTGTTAGGCACCAATTAAACTTGTTTAGGCAAGGGGCTTCATGGACCAGTTTCCAGCATTCCTTAAAGAATAGATAAGAACAAAAGAAAATAACTTATAGGCATCAACTGTGTGAATTGCACAAGAAAATCTTCAAAAGTTGGTTCTTGAAAAATTTTCAATGACAGCACCAATTTTAGAAATAGTTCTTAAACGACCTAGCAAAATATATAATCCTGGGGTAAGTGTACGTATTTTAAAGATTTTTATGTATTGTGGCTAATGATATATTGTAACTACTAGCCAGTAGCCTGCTGGTCCTGCCAATACATTCTAGTAAATACGAAGTTGTTACCCTCAGACCCCGGCTGGCTGCGGCCTGAAAGAAGGAAATTACAGGGAAATATCATACAACTGTAAATGAATGTTGCAGTAAAAGAGGCTAACTCAAGTTTTTCTGCATTTCTAGCATGCTTAAGTGGAAAATTGGGCTGAAGCCACCTGTGAATAAGAAAAAAATTCCTGTGAATCAGGCCATTTTCAACTATTAGTGTAACCTTTTTATAATTTTTGGGTTAAAAATAAGAAAAACAACCTATGTTCACCTACAATTTCATGAAAATTCTGCCCGATGTTCCAAATAGGCTAGAATGCTTTTTGAAAATTGCAAGTAAAATTATCCATTTTGTTTAATTTTACTTGATGGTTTTAATTTCTTGTTAAATTATCCAAAAAACTTCTAATTTTTTGGTTTCTGTATTAATTTTCACTGTTAAATTAGGAATAAAATTTATTTCACATGAAAGGTATAGATGGAAGGTATAAATTTTAAAGAAAATAATTCAATGAATGTACGAGTGATGTTCAACTATATAAATTTTTGAACTTTATTTAAAGGCAAATCAAATAGTTGATAGTCTAAACTGATCACTGTTAAATAAATTATTCATGTCATTTTATTAAATTCTCTCATTTTGTTTGAATGGTTGAAATTAAAAAGGTTAATTAAATTGTTTTTTAACCCATTTGCATGTAAGTTATCCATCACCTCAAATTCATTGCCAAAAGACCCACCAAAGTGCCTGGTTTGTGTTTGAGGCCACATTACATTATCATGTATCTGCAGGTCATTAGTTATCTGACACTACATTGCATTACCCCCTATAATGTCCAAGAGTTGAAATAGAATCATTTACATGAAAATTTTGAATTGGAAAACAAAATAGATGTTCTCTCTGCATTTAAAAAAACAGAAGTAGCAATATCTAGTCAATTATATAAAGTAGTACCGGTATAGTACCATGATGAAATGGTATAAAATTGTTGTTAAATTGTTACCCTTCCTTCGCATTTGAATGCTTCTATTTAAGTTTTATCAAATTTTTACCAGTTGCAGAGCAACTGTATTTATCAGATTCTTCAATTGCAATTCTTCCATAAAAATATTAAATTTTCACTAATGCCTACATTTGGAGGAAATATTTCTTATAATTGTTCAGACCTTCTTGTCAATTAGGAATATTGAGCAAAAGTTTTTTACATTTATGAAAAGAAAACTAGTATGTATGCTTGAAACATTCTTGCCTTAGAAAAATTGTGTTGGTGGCTCTTGTAGTAGGTACCATGAGATAAGCAACAAAAGCATAAAAGATTTATATTTTATGTATTTACCATGTGACTATTTGTATCACAGAAATTTAAATGCTAATAATGGTCCAAGTTGCAACATTTTATGGTATTAACTAAAAGTTCAAATTTGTTAAGTTAAAATGTTTGCTCATTTCTATGCTTGCCTGCAGAAAGTTCAATAAACAATTGATGGTAAAGCTATCGTTCTCTAATAGTTTGTTGCCTTCAGGAAACTCTGTATGGCTGCCTTGTTGTTTCAAATCCTTGCAAAAGTGACCTCAAACATGATGGCATCATCATGCAGCTGGAAGGGGTACTCAGCATTCTCATTCCTCCAAGCAAGCAAGGGCTAATTGATACTGTTGTCAACTCTTTAAAGGTATGTACGATCAAGGCTTTAAACTTGAGCATGAAATGCTTAATTAGATAATTAAAATTTCTACATGCTGTTCAAATGCATTTTAAATATTCCATGCTTGCTATAGTGTATTGTATACTGAAATGTAATGAATGCATCATCACCTTTCTAGTATAAAATTTGATAATCCAGACAAAAATACTTCTCTATTTTTCCAAGTAGGTAGTAATTGTATATTAAATTTCAAATTTTCTGAAAGTTTATTGGACACAGAGACTTTAATGATGTGAATTTATTTTTATTATCAGCCAACTGTGCTGCACAGTGAGGTGCTGGAAATTTGCAGAGCGGGCAAATTCCCACATGGTACCTCAGAATTGCCTTTTGAGGTCTTGTTGCCCATTTCAAGTCCTAAGAAGCCCATTTATGAAACATTCCATGGGAACAGCATCAACATCCATTATGCCCTAAGGTGAACTTTTAACAAACCTCTAGAGACTTTCAGTGCATCAGGAGGTGAGGTTTTATACAGTAGCATACTTTTTACATTTATGGGGAACTATTTTATTTTCAATTGTTTTTCAGCTAACTTCACCTACTTCACCCCAAATAGCTTCACACCTACTAAGTTTTTAAACTGATCTTCAACTAGGAAGGTTTCATTAAAAGACATTTGAAGAAGTCTTTATTTTTTCTTCCATCATGTTAAATCAATACATATTTTGACAGATGCACCGTTAAAAGGAGTCTCCTCTCCAAGCCATTGATTCAAATGACAGAATTCCTGGTAGAGCATAAGGTTTGTGTTATTTTTTAGTGCATTCAATGCATCTATAGGGAATATTGACTTCAAATAAAAACACAGTAGGATTAAATTTGTTATAACTTTGAAATTTTTGATTAACAGCTGAATTTTTATTTATTTTTATTACAGTTTTATTAGTTTACTTCAAATTCTTATGTGTATATACTGAATATATTAGATATGAATTAAGAGTATAAAGGTGTCTTGTATCTGAGGGTTCTTATATCATTTAAAAATATATTATATTTTTATAAATCTCTTTTTGTGTTTGAAACCCAGTTTGAAAGTAAATGGGTGCTGTTTGAGAGTGACTCCACAATACCTATGTCAGGAAATTACTTGCATCTGAAATTTTGTTTTTAGCCCAGAAATATATAAGCATTTGCAGAACCCGTTGTGGATTAAACAGTTAATGTTTAGGCTTAGGGGCTGTTCAGGCGTGCATCCATGATACTTGTTGCAGAATATTGTCTGGACCAGAAAATTTATCACTGGTGGAAAATAGTGAGGTACCGTATTTTATAACTGGTGGGAAGGGATTGGATCAAAAGTTGAAGTTTGACATTTAAATTAGTTATATATATATTAGTGCAAAATAGTTTTCAAAAAGAGAGTTCAATGGGAGTTCTATGTTCCCTGTAAAATGTGGGTTGGAACGTTATTTTTTTCAGTATATGTTAGTTTTTCTTAGGGATTATGGACAACAGGAATGATGGGATTGAGAAATTGCAGAGATTATTAAGCATCAGCACTGCCGGTCTAACCTGCAAGCATATAATAATAATTAAAACGGCTTTTCTTTTTTGGTAAAGGCTGAGGTTTGTTGGCTAAAAACAGGTAATTCCTGACAAATTTAACATATTTGTAAATACTCAAATAGTTTTTATATTATGTTGGTGCAAAATACATATTAAAATGCTTTCTGTATTGACAGCCTTCAAGTTGTCCTCTGCCTCCACGTGTCAGAGAATTCAGCCTCACCCCCGCAAATGTAAACAATGCTGGAGAAAGAAGCCGCTTGCCTAACTTCAGCATCACTGGCCGTCTCGACAGTGACATGTGTAGCCTCAGCAAGCCTCTCACGGGCGAGGTAAGTTATTCATCTGAATCTTTTATTGCATTACACATTTTTTAAGTGAGTGTAAATTCATTGAAGAAATTCCTTGTAAAAATGTTTTTTTTTGAGCATATTTTCTAGCATCATTCTATGTGAAAATGATACTCAAGCAAAAGATTTCTTCAGATGAAAGATTCATAATTCTTTAAGCATTTGTTTATTATGGTATTGATTAATTAATATTAATTTATTGTATCTTTAATTCATTGATATTACTGTATGTTTATTAATTAATTTCTGAGTATGTGCTCATAACCCTTAATAAGAGTCTTTAATAAAAATCATTCTTCACTTGAAATGGTAAGAAATTTCACCATTAGATTAGCTTAAAATGTCATAAATTATTATCTGTGGATCATCAGATGATATAAGTTTTTGGAAGCATGTTGCAGTTTGTGCTGTGGCCATCAAGAAAGCCAACTTTTAATATAATTTTTTTGCACTGTACAGATCTGTGTGCAGGAGTGCAGCGGAGGAGTTGTTAACAGCATTGAGGTTCAGCTTCACAGACTTGAGACCTGCGGCAATCCTGCTGACCATTTGGCTCCCACTGAGAGTAAAAAATATTTTCTTCCAGACTCGCTATGAAGAATTTCTTCTTCCATTTTTACACTATAACGCGAAATCTATTTCCTGTTTATCTGTAATCGACCTTTTTCATTTTATTTTTGTGAAATATGTCCTGATTGGATGATGTAGGTAATTTTGTGAAACGTGTGGTACCGAACATTTAGCGAACAATAAGCATCTCAAAACGATTGCAACATTTAATTATTTCTCTGTTGTTATACTGGTGAGCAGCGAGTGAAGTGCAGAGCTGGCAAGTGTGCGACGGTGACGTGGCGCGTGGGCTGGCTATTCCGCTGTGCCTACCGCTGCCGCGCGTCTTCACCTGCGCGACTGTCAGTTCCCGTAACTTTGCAATTGGTAAGCTTTTTCAGCCAGCTTTACCTATCAATCATTAATTTACGTTGACGCCAATTGTGCGACGTGATAAGATAATCATTGATTTAAGTTAACACCAATTGTAATAACTCTGAGCGTGAGCAATTTTTGCTATGCAGTCCTCACTTTCGATACGCAGTATAATTCATTGATCAAATGGGAGAGGGCTACAGTCTTGCACATTTTATTCGTTGTTCAGAAGTTCAAGATAAAATATTGCAACAGTTAATTATAGTTCATAAGAAAATTGTTTCCAATTGAAACGCTGTCCTCAAGTGCATCTCAAATGAAAATATATAAAAGAAATATTTTGGTTAACAAATTTCTGTTGAATTATTCAATGCAATGTTGGTTTGCTGTAGTACATCGCCTAGAACGATAATTTACCATTCTTTTATTGCAGGTTTTGAGGTGATCATTCAAGTAGCTTTCTGCAACGATCATCTGGTGAAGGAAACTATCCCTATTGTGTTAGAGAGATGAGTGTTGCTAATGTATCAATGTAAGGGCTATTTATATAGGTTAATAATAGGCTTGTGATTATATTCTTAATAATGATTTATATTGAGATCTTATTATTGTGAGATTCATCTTAAATATTAGGCATATTTTGATCCTTTAACAAATTGTTCAAATGAATTCGTCATTGAGAAAACTGTTTTGTTAAAATTAATTTAACCTCCTTTTTAAAAACTCGAATAAACTTTTACTTGAAAGTGAGTTTCATTTGTGTAGTTCTAGGAGAGTTGTTACCTGCTGGGTTTGAAGGACTGTCTGACAGCGACACAATTTTCAGATTCTTTTTTCCTTTACCCTTCACTGCTGGTTTTCTTGAAGAACTTGGCGCTGTTTTTTCTATGGTAGAAATTGTATCGGTTACCTTACCTGAAGCAGCTTTTCCGTCCGAAGTTTGACTAAATTGGAGTTTTCGTTGGCTGGAAAGTGTGCTGAGCCAGTTAGATGTTATTTGCTTCTCGTGTAAAACAGGCACAGGACGAGGAGATATGCCATCTTTGACGAAATTTGGCAAGTTGGCAGTAGGTGACTCAAATCTGGATTTCGACCGCGGCTGATGTGATATTTCTAAACTGTCTTTAACAGGTGTCAAGGAACTTCCAACTGAAGAGTAAACGACATCCAAAGACGCCGGTGTATTTGTAGTTGATTTACTACTATCTTCATCTAAACTTGACCTAGATTTATTTTCAACAAACAAACCTCTCAAGCTGTTATTCTTTATCGTCTCTAACATACTTTGCTCAAATGGCTGAACACTTTCGGCAATTTCTGATATAGTTTCTAATTTTAAGCTTGTCGAGGATTTCGGTTTTTCATTTGATTTACCATAATTCAACATTTTTGCCACAGTAGAAGGTTGACTCAAATTATTGTTTTCCACAAGAACATCTTTAGAAGGGGAAATCGGTTTTCGCTTGTTACAGATGGATCCATCATCTCGAATGTTTTCCTGTTCTCCACCATGACTTTTCTCCAGGACGTCAGTAAGTTTTCTCTTAATTCCTGCACGCTTGGAGGCGCTAGTACATTCGTTTTGCGCGGACGTCGGCTGTAGAGGTGTACCACACGCCGGTGAAGGCTTAGGCGTTTTCTTTGCCGTTGATAACCACTGGAGAAGTGTCAATGACCTGTCCAAACTTGAGGGAGTACGAGGAGTTTGTAGGAGTGAAGCTCGTTGAGCGCTATGGTTCTCCCCTTCATAGCGGGGAGAATCGGTTGGGTGTGTACTTTGATGAGGTGTAAACAATAACATATTGCGGGCCTCGTTGTCAGTCGCTCGACTTGAAGGTGTGGTGGGGATGGGGGTACTTGGGTCTCTGGTTGGTAGATCTGTACTGCGACCTGGAGTTGATAAAGTTGGAGCATGGCTATTACTTCGTAGAGGCGTTGACATACTGTATGATAATTTAGGCCTTGAGCGTGGAGTTTGGGGAACTGGTGGTAAAGGTTGAGATATTCCAGAATACTCTACGTCATAGGATAGTTTCCTCAAATATCTTAGTGGTCTCATTTTTGAACATCGGCTCATTGGTGGACAGCGAGCAAGAACTGCCTCGTCAACCAGGGTAACTTGGCCACGGAAAAAATCATCATTCTCTGAAGTCTGGTTCTTCTCATAAAATGAATGATCCATGTAATAAATCTTCTGCATACCTTCATCCCCACATGTGGCGATCTGAAAAATTGTATTTCGATTAAGAATTGAGTAAATTTTCATAGCAATATTTTATGTGTATATGAAATTCAAAATTAATATAAAATTTTATTTATACGTTCAGAAATTTACCTCCAGTTTATTACTTGTATCATGGTAGCATTACGCATTCAAACCGGAGATCACGTGCAAACCTGTCACTTTTCATCAAAATAGCATACCATCAATGTAGCATCAAATGTTATATGTAGAGTAACGACACTTAGAATTTTTCATTTTGCTCGTCACACACCACCAGGATCTGAATACCTTGTCACCGCCGAACTGTCCCCAGTCCACAGCAGAAACCTCCCCTCGATGTCCTGTCAACTGAGCCACAGGAGGTCCCGGTCTGCTGGTCAGCCAGACCAGGGCTCGTCCGTCCGCTCCTCCAGACACGAGGTAGCGACCACACGAGCTCACCGCCATGCGGACGTAGTGCGTCGTGTTCAGGCAGCCAGTGTAGCAGCTCACTGAGGAAGAAACGTCGATAGATTTTAATTTTGTACGTTTTTCCGAGTGCATTCTATATTTTGAACAAATCAATGGAAATACACAAATGTACATGACTGCACAGAGATGGCTATATATTAATTATATCATTGAAGTTTTAGAACTATAGATAGATTTTCTTTTCATAGTACACCATTGCAATCAAATTATTTAAGGAATTTCTCCTTCACAAATCAAGATTAAAGGAGGGCTTGATGACTGCGCTTAATTTCTTTGACACCTCCAGAAAAATACTGATCTTTTTTTGACACCTTTGGAATAACTTGGGCAACGAGATTAGCTATTACTATAACCTGGAAGAATAATTTTTTTATAGATTACGATAGTCAACAATCAATCATGATTGGAGCTGGAAATTTTTTTTAGGTACGTTTAGTGAAACTTAACATTTTTCGCATTACAGGTGTTGTGGCGGATAAATTGGGAGGCCAGGCAAGATTTCAATGTCACAGAGTTTACTGGTATATTTCCGACTGCTTAAACAATTTTGTTAATGCTAAATAGAGTTATGTATTTCCGGAAAGATTTTCTATGATCATTTATAACTAAGGACTCCAAGGAACTCGGCAGTATATAATGCCATTCTGAAAAGCTTATCAAAACATTCCCATACAATGATGCAAATTAATTGCGTACGTTACAATCGTTTTAAACTCCGCCGGGCAAAATTCATTTCAATCACGAAAGCAAGATTAATTTCACACAAAATCATACCAGGCTCGGCGCTGGGCATGGCCAGATGGTAAGCGTATATCTTGTAGTCCATGGCGAGAGCATAGAGGTAGTGAGAGCGCGAAGGAGCACAAGCCCACCCGAAGCCCCGCATGGAGGATGTTTGAGGCTGCGAGAGCGTGTGTACTGGCACAGGTACGCTACGTAACGTACAGTGACTTTTGCGCAAATCCCACATTTTGATCAGCCTGTGTACACATTGATAGAGATCAGATCTTTTGCAGGAATGGGATTAGCTCCTGAAGTATTTTCAAAGTTAGTGTATTCACCAAGAAAACATGTTTCAAGTGCTCAAGTTCAAATGTAAATATTACACAAGCGATGGGTTGCTCAAAATTTATAAATTCATTGCAAATCCCCTTAACAGTACCCATCAGTCGAGCCTGTAGACGTGAGCGTATGCTCCTCGTAGAATACAAGGGATGAAACAGCGTTGCTCGGCGGAGCATTTGGCGTTCGGTGTTTACTGCAAACGCGCCCAGTCACTGTCAAAAGGAACATGAATATAGCAATACAATTTATAGTTTCCTGAGCAACATTGGTCGTCGACATATTCCCGCCTGCGATGACTAGGCATCATATAAAAAGTTTCAGCCACTTGACCCACTTCGTACATGTACAGGGTGCGGCGCGGGAACTTACTTATTTGAATTGCGCGCCACGTGGCGGCCATTAGTCCTAGGAAGGTGGCGCCATGCGCAATATGGTGCGCGGGCTATGAAGTTTTTCGTCCACTCAGTTCAGTTGCGACCATGCAGTGGAAAACGTTATCTTTAATACTTTTTACTTTGTGATTTTTTTAAAAGAGTAAGTTCCCACGCCGCACCCTGTATAACAAAACAATGAAGAGGCATGTAGAGAAGTGCTATAGTGATGCAGCTAAAAAAACAGTCAAGTTTCATATTAAAAAGAGGCGTTATTTGCGGACAAAAAAAAAACTCAGCAAAAAATGTACGGCAGTTTTTTCAATAATTGAAAAAAATTTTCCATCATTTAAATGTTTCCTCTTTCTTTCAGCATTTCTATCTGCTTTTCACCATAAATAACTGCATTCAATCATTTTGAAAACCTCACAGACATATTGAATAAGCATACTTGGAAATCTAGATTTCACAACTAATTAAAGAAATTACGAGTCTTCCTTATAATATTTGCAGTTCCTACATTTAAAAGATAATAGGGAGCGAGCAATATGATGAATGGGACATTAAAATTTAAGAGATGACGTGATTTCTGGGCACGTTTTTCAGTACCTAACAGTGTACTACAGGTACCGCAATCATACTAGAGAATACAATGAGCATCGTGCACGATATTGTAGAAGTTAGATCAAGAAATTGGCTAATATTTGCACTGAACAATGCTACCCACGTGTGGAAAAGCATGAAATCTACTGATCCCACGATCAGTAGATTGGAATCTACTGATCTGATCATTCATCTTCACTCCTATGTCTGTAATTGGAATGGGGTTGTGGAGACCTTATTTAACCTTGGCATTGATCAGCCAAGCAGTTCATATTCATGCGTGCAAAAACTATAGGCAGCATATCTCCCAACGACTAAAAAAATGTAAAATTTAAAACGTGTGTTTCCTTCGACATCCTAAGTTAACACTATCATCCTTTCAATCATAAGATATACTAGAATACATAAAAATTAAAAAAAAACGGGCATTGATTCTAAAAGAGTAATATTAAAATGTAAAAAATATAACTCAGTACTCACTGCAGTGAGTGACAGAGAGCGCAAAAAAAATCGACGAAAACGTGAAGTCACGGACAGACGGATATGACGAGCACAATGGGACAATTTTTCCATAAATGATAAAATGCGCTTAAAAGGACATGAATCATTAAACAGGAACTGATGTATAGATATTTGTTACAGCTAGGGTATCATTTTGTCTTCACCAATGATCAAGATTTTTCATGTCATCTCCCTCCTATCTCTCAGCCTAGTCACGCTCTCCATATCTTTCTCGGCTTGCAGTCACAGCGACATTTGCTTCCAGTGAAATACCCGCAATCATTTCAATCCACTGGCCTGTTCTCACGTTCCTAATTGCATTATTCCCCTGCCTCATTAAGGGTCGCTTCCATCATAACCCCTTTTCTCTCGTATGCCTCGCACTCCACCATCAGGTGCTCCAGGCTAATTCAAACCCCATTACACCTAAAAAACTCATCCTTTTTCCTCCCATTCCGTCTGCATGTATTTACAGTTACGCCAGGCGCCCCTGCTCACACACAAAAACGTACAGTGCATATTTCTACTACCATCATGTATGCATTCAAACGTTGGTACCCCTTTCACTACCAAGAGTAGATAATACAGAGTAATTATGATTTGTAATTAATTTTGTTATTTATTAATTTTGTCAGAAGGGAGAGATGCCAGTTTTACTTGTAATAAGGCAGCGCCAGACGAAATCTCGGACGTAAGTTTCGAGTTGAAAAATTGTATGTACTGCCAATAGAATCAACATTATGAGAGCGTCTGAGGGAGGTTGCCTATGACAGCTGTATACGTAGTATATAACTGTGCCAGCACAGGGCATTTAAAATTATTGCATATCCATAGAAAAAAAAAGAAGCTAAACTGCTAAGCATAAAATCCTTATTCAGATTTCACAATTTGGTAGATAACTCACCGGCGGACGGATGTGCAGACTCTATTTTGTCAGCGCGATGTTGGGGGCTGCAGCGACGATCCCACACAACAATATTCCCGTCACGTCCACCAGATACAAACACCACTGCAACACAATGGCATGTTCCATAAAATCTTCATCTTATTAAAAGAAGCTAATATCACACAAACAACAAAGTTCTATGTGACAAGAAAGATAGACCGATTAACTAAATATGATTAATATCTCTAGAAAGTAAATATCTCAGCCAAGGGTAGAATGTACCTATATCAGTGATTGAAACAATAAAAATGTATGAACAATACTATCCAAGCTGTACTTATTATTTGTCTGAAATCATACAGCACCTAAGATTGAGGTGACATTTTTAGCATTAGTATCCAGCAAAAATTCACAATAGTGCTGGGATAAAATATATATCTAATTAACAATTTCTAATCACAGAGGGGAGAATCAAACAGATATACACAACATGCACAAGTAACTTACTTGGATCATAAGGGTTAATCTGTAAGGTTTTGACAGTTCGTGAGTGGCCAAATAACTTGAGCAGTGGATGCAGCCTTCCTTCACCAAGTTTCCAGAGTACAACAGCCTTGTCTCCTCCACATGATAGAATTTCTTCAGTGTTGGGTACCCAGCTCACATCAATGACAGCATCAACATGGACGCTCTCATTGCAAGAGGCTAGCTCATGGAAAATCAAGTTCACTACCTTGGTTAAGGAAAAATTAGTGGAGCATCTTCTATATGAAACCTAATAAAATAGTTACTTTCCTAATGATGGCATTTGAATATATTCAAAGGAAATCTTTTCCATGCCAATTTTTTATGCTAATCATTGACAAGATTTAAAGGCAAACTAAAATTATTACACAGAACAAATGGAAAAAAATACTCACAAATTACTGTAGGAACATTTGAGCGTTCAGCTGAATTAACAATTGTCACATTTCCATCTTCCCCTCCATAAGCCAGCAAATGACCAGTGTTGGAGTCTTTTCCAAAACTGAAACAAAATGTAAAAATTTTAGACAAAATAAATTAAGCTTGAAATGGTTAACTTTAATATGACTAAAATAAGATATTATACTTGTATTATAGGATGGAAAAATTGTAAGATAACTAGGTAATAGAGGACCAGAGCAAATGATGGTTTATGCCCTTCAGGTCAAAGAGTAATTTCAGAACTATCTTGCCCAGTTTGCTTCAAGTTAACAATATCCAAAACTGTGTCATTATGCATCCAGTCAGTTGAAAGTTTTCCAAACAAAATTTTTACACACACCTGCAACAGTACATAGGCTGGTTGCCATAGACTTCCCCTTGGTCATCTTCACAGAAGAATTTATAATCAGTATATTTTGTACACTTCAAGTCCAGCAACGACTTAATGCGGTGAGATGAGCATGAAGGAATAAATGATGACTGGCCATATGGAAAAGAAAATCCTGAAAAACATCAAAAGGATACTTTAACAAATCTTTCATTCAATATCTTCACATACATAAAAATATTGAATTAATAATTCAGTCACAGCAGTGAAAACATAAAATAAAACATGATCCACAAATAGCACATTATTTCATCTGAATGTTTCACCTGCCAAAAACACATTTTAACAAGAGTACATATACATTTATGATTTTAAATCAATTTTCATAATTTCAATTCTATTTGAAAACAGATCACTTACCTAACAAGCTTCTCTCATTCAAAACCTGCACAATATTAGTTTCTAAAAATGACATGATAGAATCTGAAAAACTTTCAACATAATCAGAGGAAATAAGCAAAAATTAAAATGAATACATCCTGACACAAGAAAAATTTATTTAGTTTTGACATATCATCCAATTAACCATCCAATAGTCAAATATTGAGATGAGCTAACAATTTGCACTGTATTCTAAATACACTACAAAAATTTCCAAAGCACAATTAATAAGCCAAAGTTTCAGGTGTGTTGCCAACAGCCAAGATTGCTCATTAAGGAAAAAAATGTGTAGCCAGCTTAACTGAAAATACATGTTCAAAACTACATTATCCTGAAAGATATGACACTAGGAAATAGGAATGCGAATTTAAAGGCCAATGCATTTTCAGCATGGAATTCTAAGAATTGTAGTTTAAAAATGTATATTTAAATATCAACCCATTGCTCAACCCAAAAATTTTTCAAAAATTTTATAAAACTGATACTATCTACTAAATGTCAAAGCTTCCATATCATTTTAGTGAATTAGCCCTCTTGTACCTCCAAAGAATTTTTCTTCAGAGTTGCAAAAATGTTAATTAATGCCTAGGTATATAAATTCAGCTGCAGCTTAGATAATGCAAATTATTAATAACACATGATAAATTTTAGAGGCAAGTCGTTTTCAGCACTTAAGAGATATTGATACAATAAAATCTCTATAAATACATGTATTTATTAATTATCCCTGCTAAATTTAATCTAACACATCATAAGGTTCCCTAAAACAGCATGAATTGGACCGGGTGACTAGCACCATTTTTAGAGCTGATATTTTTTGTGCTACAAATAGTCACATAGTAACTATATGAAATATATCATTATTGCATTTTTAGGTTACCTCATGGTATTTCAAGAGCCATCAATCCAACTTTTTCAAGGCAAGAACCTTTTGAGTGATAGGGATTTCTTTTCTCAAAATCACCCTGCTTTGCAGTTTTTCAGGAGTTATAATATTGAATGTTGGTGAGCCACCAGCATTTTTAGAAATTTTGAAATTCTCTGACATTGTCCACAGTAAACGATGTTGAAATTGGGAAGGTGTTGAGCAAGCCAAAGTTGGGAATTCTCTAATTATGGCTCAGAAAGTGGATAATTTTTATGCATTTCAACAAGCCATATAATTTTAGCCAAACCAAAATATATTAGGAGGTTAGGAGCCACAAGATTAAAAATTTATCATAATTATTTAATATTAAGATCCAAGCATCAAAATTTTCCAATCTCACGCAATTTAGTTCAAGGTGGTATTTATGAGGGTTAGAAAATGTATACTCCTGAACCTCAATTATTAAAATTTCCTGGAATTTTGTATCATGAAAGTTACATTTTCAATAAATTTTGAGTCTTGTAGCTTGATAGTAAACTCAAGCCAACTGAAACATGTAAGATCCTAATATGGATAGGAGATAATTAACCTAACAGGAATTTGTGAGTTACAACTCCAAAAATTGTTGGAAAGCTCAGATCATAGCTCAAAAAGTACCATCAATGCCGATATAGTTGCCACAGTGCTCAAGTCTCCAGCCTTCAATTGAAACAAATCAAGCAATTTATTTTAGAAACAAAATTGAACCCCACTTTCTAGGGCCATTAAAACTGCTTTGCAGTCATAATGCTTCTATTGAACCATAAAAATTGTAGTTGTGACCAGTGTTACTTGCATTTCCATGACAAGCAGTGCTGTAAGCATATTATCTACCAAGTACTGGCAATTTGGAATAAATCTGGCAGAAGTGTCCTAATATCCCAGGTAAAATAGGCAGATTTCTTATTTCTTACTAAAGAAAGTGGGGAAAAGTCAAACTCAAAAAAGCCATAGGAATGGGTAAAATTTGTCAGATTCACTGACATTCATGTCCAATTCACAGGTATCTTCTGCCCAAGTTTCAACTTTGGCTGAGTGGCAAATGGCAATGTATGTGTCATTGACAGTAGATATATTCTACACCTGTTTACTTCATAGTTTAGAAGGACTGATGATGATGTGCCAATAATAACAGTACAATGCCATCATGCCATGTGTGAACAAGTAATTTTGAAACTATTTCTACATATTAATTTGGAACTGGGCTATTTTATTTGATATTAATGCCAAAAAGATCAAATTTGCTGTGCAATAAACAACACAGGCTTACACTGCAACGAGTCAATAAAACAGACCAAATAAATTTCTTCTTGAACTTCATTTTCCTATGCTTTCATCTTACAAATTTGTACTCTTGAGACAAATAAATACACAAAGAGACAAACCACTTCTATTTTTTTTAATTTGATTTGAAGACTTCGAGTATGCAGGTAGCACACCTCCCAGCCTGAGCACAACTCAGATTTTGATCACTCCACTTCACTTGTTTATTTCACTTTGTATTTCTCTTTCAGCACTTCTACCAACCAGTGTGGCAGTAAATGGTAAGGAGAAAAAGAAAAATAGTAATTAGACTTTGAGGACTTCATAGCCTGGTCACCATATTGCAGCTGTGCAAATATTGACCCAGATGACGGATGGCAGCAGTGCGTCTCCTCATTGGGGCGTCTCCACCACCGAGAGCTGAGGAAAGATCCCACTGAAGTGAGAGGGGATTGTGTGCAGTGTAGAATGAAATGCTCAATTGTGTCCTCCACATTGCATACTGAACAGTTACTTGAATTGGCCAAGTTGAATCTCGCCAAATGAGCTTAGACACCAGCATGTCCCAGGCGCAGGCAAGACACAACGCACTCAACTGAGCGTGGCAACACTCCATAGTCAACAAAGGCTATTTCATGTCCCAAACTTCTTCGAATGGTCCCCTTGCCTGTTTCTAGCACATCAGCAGCCCATTGGCGTGTCCATTCTTGTACCGTGAGAGACTTCAAGAAACAGATCCACTCCTCGAAACACAGCCCAGATCTTGCTGAGCGGTTGTTTGAATGTGCCAAATTTGCTACTCTGTCTGCGACCTCATTTCCATGAATACCACTGTGGGCTCTGACCCAGCAAAGCACCACCCTGTCAAGTCCCTTCACCAGCATCAACTTCTGTATCTCACAGATAATTGCGCAATACAAGTGCCCAGATGAGTTGCATAAAAGCTGCAGGGCTGACCTTGAATCTATCAGAATTAGGATGGACTCCTCCTTCAGAGTTCCATTCTCAGTGACAAGTTGCATGGCCTTGTGTATAGCAAACAGCTCTGCACCGACAACTGTGTGCTCTTGCCGGAGCAACCAGCCAGTTGCCAGCTGGGTTGAAGGAATGAAAAGTACAGCAGAAACAGACCCATCTTCAGACTTTGAGCCATCGGTATAAATTTGGATATGTCTAGGATAGTTTCCCAGGAGAAAATCATTAAAGCAATTCTGAATAATTTGATGAGGCATATTATTTAAGGGATGGTCTTGCAAGTTGAGTAGAATGTTTGCAGTGAGATCCACTTGAGGAGGGATCAGACTCATCAGGGGAGTTGCAGTTTGCTGAAGGAGTGAGAGGCCCAGCATGCGAAAGCTATCATGAGCTCTGTTGAAAAACGGTGTGTCACGGTGAAATCCCTGATCAGCAAGTCCCAGCATGGTTGGCACTTGGTCACCTTCAGGCATGTACAAATACCTTATAACCCATTTAATGAACAGATATAAGAACCGCAGTTTCAGAGGTGCAATGAAGCTCTCAACTTGCAGAGACACTATTGGTGTTGTATGGCAGGCTCCTTGGATGTATCAGAGGAAGATTTTTGAACAGTTTCAAGTTGTTTCAACAAAACCTTAGAAATGTCCTATAAAATTATCTCCGAGAGACACCCCACTTCACTGAGCCAAGTGCACGAAGCACCTGCATTCGTTTCAAACAAGCGGTTTGTGTTATCCTGGCGTATTCCCAAAATGTAAGGCGCGGAGAGTCAAAATGAAATCCCAACACTTTTTGGCAGGCCACATACTGAATATTCCTGTTACAGACTTTAAGTGTGGTAGCACGGGCTGTCCAACTGTCCTGAGTGATGAGTATATCTGATACAAGCACTTTGCAGGGTTAAGCCAAAACTGCCAGGCTGAGTGCCAGCAAATCAAATGCACCACACCGCTGCATATGATGCCTAGCCTAACCCAAGGAAGAACCATTGACAAAAAGTGTTATGTCATCCGCGTACCCCACCAGTGTCACATGTGGAGATTTTGGGAGGTCATGAAGCATGATCAAGCATCACATTAAAGAGGGTAGGGGAGAGTACAGCTCCTTGTAGAACTCCTACTCTCACTGGTTGGCACAATGATTTAGAAACTCCAACAGTGAGTCCAACCTGTACTTGAACAGTCCGATTTTGAAGATAGTTGTTAGTTGTACAACCAAGACAGCATTTGTTCCTCAACTCCAATGCGATGCAACTTAAAAAGCAATCCTTTGTGCTAGTCTGCCAGACACTGTCAAAAACTATTTCTTTACTCATGTAATCTTGCCACTGTTCTGAACTTTTGATATCTCATGCATTCTCACCTCCCTGACTGACAGTCCCCTGACTCCCCTCTACCAAAATTAGCTAAACAAATATGTGATCATGTGATGCATAGCCAAGCTTAATAGCTTATATGAAGGCCTGACTGCTCAATCTGAATGTATTTCACTTTCAAGGTCACTACACCATGCATTAGGGCCTATTGGTCAAGAACAGACTAGATCATAGTGATAACTGATAAGTAACAAAGCAGAGAATTTTTTAGACTCTCCCTCAAGCTCATTTTTGAGTCCTATTACTATTAGTATTAGTAGACCAGTAAACTAAGTAAAGTATCATGGATGATGGATACCAGCATTTTCATACTTAAGAAATTGGTTTTAATCTTGAGTTATTGAGGAAATTAAAAATGAACTGATTCCAAATTACCAAATAAGCTCTGGACTCTGGAGTCTGGTTTGCCACTATCACTATGCTGAGCCTCTGAGGCTGCTGAGCCTGAGCTAGTATGGAATATATCTACTTGGCAAGCCGCGACTGAATTTTTTGAGCCGTGGTTTTATGGATTTGCCAGCCGTGATTCCATTTCTACGAGCCGTGATTCTATTTCACCGGGCCGTGAATTCCATATCTCGGCCATGAAAAGCCATTTAATTTTTTTTCGTGGGTCACATTTTTAATTTTTTAACCTATTAGATATGCAAACTTTTCAAATCTTTCTATTGTGTTATGTAGCCTCAGTATTAGGCCTTTAATGCCCATTGACAAATTTTTTCTATGTCAAATAGTTTTTGAGTTGTGGGTGTTTCTGTTAAAAAAACGAAAAGTGGTCTAAGTTACCCCGCCGGTCTAAGTTACCCCATTTAACGGTATATGATTTGATATTAACACGTTGACTATGTATTGGTACATATGCGTACCAAGAAATGTATTTCTCCAGGAGGTAGTGGTACATAATTGAGGTTGCCTAAAATCGGCTAAATACAAAAAAAGGACAATAATTCAATGTATACTAGTTTATATGAAGGTTCCACTATGAAAACTCCATTTATTTACTTTTTGCAGTATTTAAAATTTAATTAGGAAGTACCCCAGTCATAAATTTTAGCCGGCCAAGTTGCCAACGCAATTGAGAAAAACTAAATCACGGAATTTGTCCAGAAAAATGACCATCTGGCAACCCTGCTTAAAATAAAATACAAAAAATGAAATAATTGTACAAGATGAAGCAATCGTAGTCAACGTGTTAAAGCCGCAATAGCCTATTTCAGAAAAAATAGGACTTTTCCAGCCCTGCATGGCACTGGCAGTCAGACAACATAGGCCTATTGCCCTATTTTAGAGACTAATCCAGACTTAAAGCATTTAAACTTACAAGGAAAATTCCCATTTCCCATTGCTAGCTAGGCTTTTTCAGTTCTACTGTTATGCTTGAAAGCTATTTCAAGATTTCAACACCATAGAACTTAAAAGGCATAGGCTAGCTAAGCTTAGCTACAAGTTAATATATTCCAGAAATAACAAAAAATCAAAAAAGTTCAATTCAGCTCAGCAGCTAAATTATCCTAGTTCGGCAGGAGCGGCTCACTTTCTGTGTGCCTACAGCCAGCGAAGCGGACGCTAAACTTGTACTCTCCACTTTTGATATGCTGCTGCTGTATAATCACGTACAGGGGGGTTTGAGGTCAAAGTTTTCACTCAAGCCGTTTTTCCCAGGAGCTCAACCGTTAGAATCTCATGAAAATTGGCACAGAGACGTACGCATATTTTTTCTACCAAACCTTCTTGTCGGATTTCCGAAATTCCCACTCCTTCCCCCCCAAAATCCCCAAAAACCCCTAAAATATTAGCGAAAAATGACCTCATTATGACATTCGAGCCGAGAGATTTCATACCTACTGAAATTATATGATATTAGAGCCGCGATATTTCAGACAAAAATAGGACTTTTCCAGACTAGAGCCTGAGGCTCACTAGATACAGCTAAGGAAAAATATAGCTATGCTCAGATTTGAAATGCCTAGCAGTCTAACACCAAGCTGCACCATATCAAACCCAGTGCCAGTCTAGTAGTAGTAGTAGACAGTAGATTAGTAGTAGCTATTTCAAACTATAGTCAGAGTCAGTCTTGAAAATATCCAGTCAAATGACAAGATTTTAGATCTTCTATGAACAAGTCATGAAAATTTCAAGATTTGGCAACAGGCCTGAAGCTGAAGGCTGAAGCCACATCAGGCCTACCTAAAACCTACCTACTAAGGTCTCAGGCTACTCTTTAGCGCCGACATAGCGGCATCAGTGGCGGCCCGCATCACTATTGTTACATATTATTAGTAAATAGTATCATGTAATGTTATTCTCAAGTGGTGGCTGTTTGACACATAGTGCTATGGTTTAATGCAGTTAATTTTATAGTATGTTTTCCCTCTAATATTCTTACTCACTGAGAGGCTTATGAACGAATAATGAACCAAGTGTGATGTGGGGCAAAGCTGACCTTAGGATGCACCCGCAAATTTTTATTATTTCACGTCTCCCGCGTCTTTGAAATTTTTTCCGGAATTTCCGCACGACAATAAAAATTTTTTTCATTATTAATACGACCAACATAAATTGAGGTTTTTGAGTATTTGCACGAAATCACAATAAAACGTTGATTATTATAATAAATTACTAGGTTTTCTCGTTCATAAATTCGGCCACGTGTCAGGTGTGAGTGTGACCGACCTTTCGGCATTGCAAACAATGGAGGATATATTAAGAATGTTAATTAAGGCACGCCTGCCAAAAATTATATCAAAAGTACCATGCCTGCATTCTGACATCCTCAAAAAACCTCAATTGTATTTCAACATACATCTGCTCAACAGTGCCGCCTCAAAACCTTTGTCGTAAATCGTGATTAGACGCAACTCACGCATGGGGTGTGAAAAAAGTAGGCTGCGGGAAATGAAACGGCATAGTGGCAAGAAACAGCAAATTTTGTTTCCGAACAATCGCGTTTTCTCAAAATAAATCATAACGAAAGGATGTAGTCGGCCTATGCCTTCTTTGCTTGTAGCACTCGTACTCGACTTGAAATTGGTCTAACAGGCGTAAGAATGGCAAATACACGGACGCTAGCAAACAGATTAATCATAATGCTTGCCACAAAACTGTACGACTGACTTAATTAATGCGGTCATCTCCATGCAGTGGTTTTCTTGTTATTTATCTCAACAGACTCCTCGTCAACAAATCCATCAAGTGACTAATGCAAAAAATGCTCGGCTCAATGGCTTTCCCCCAAGAGCACTTCAAATTATCTAGCCTCTAGTTAGATAAGCTACCACGCTTAGCCTGCGGCCCTGCTGACGTCATAATAAATGAAGTCTAGAGGCCCTCCAGGGTAAGAAATCAGGCCGAAAACTCTTACACAAAAAATATGACGAAGGTTTTAGATCACAATCCAGTGGATGAAGTAAGATGCACTAAAATGGCTATGCCAACCCATTAGGGCCAAATTATGCATTACAGGATAGTCAATAAACACATTCCTCAGACAAAAGCTTTACTCATCCTATTTCTTGGATTTAGCTTGCTTTTGTGCCTTTGGCTGCTGCTTGGGCTGTTTCTTGCCCTTTTCGCTTTTGTCTCCCTTGTCGCTCTTCTCCGTCTTGGCAGAATCGCTCTTGGGCTGCTTGGGCTTAGCAGAAATTTTGAGCACCTTGGGTTTCTTACCCTTTGACGCACGCTTCGATCTTCGAATCTGAAAAATTAGTGAACGAGTTTTAATCCTGAACGTGAAGCAACACCGCAAATAAATAGCAGCATACCTGACCTTAAGCTGCTTAGTAGAACCAAACACGATTCAAACATCAAAGAGACCGACCACGAGTTCATTGATGTTAGGTGACAAGGCCTTTTTCAAAAGAAACGTTACCAAGGACAATTAGTCGGCATTAATACATGAAGAGTTGATCCGCGAAGTTACAACAAATTGCTAAGACCCACCTGAGCAGCAATTCGGTCCAAATCTCTCTGTCCCTGAGAAGTTAGAGCGCGGCCACCATTGGCGGTTTTTTCTACCAGCTTTAGGGTCTCGAGAGTCTGCAGTGACTTGCGGGCGACCGATCCTGATCCCTTGCAGAAGTGGCTGGGCTTGGTGCCGCGGCGCTCCCGACCTTGAAATATGAAATTGCTGATTAATCCCTTGAAAAGGCGAAGATTTTTTTTTTCTTGAATTAATAACAATTGATCCGTAGGTGAGAGACTCCAACCACATGCAAAATATTGTTCAACATCATTTAAAACCAGTAACACTGCAAATCGAGACAGGATTAAATGAGCGAGTAATGAACTCGGTAATGTGTTCACTAGCAGTAATGAGCGAATGAGTACAAATGCACAAGACATTTTTTTCAGAATAATAACAGACAAAAATATGGAATTGATTTCAGAATTCTGCAGCATTTTTGGATAGAATCTGGTACTAACTTATATTTCCAACCCTCTCTACCTAAAGTTGTTACAAGCAGCAAGTATACAAGAGGTTGACTGTATAAAATTAGAATTGTATAGTCAATTTATCTGCAGACAAAGGATCAAACGTTCATTTAAAAAATCTCTTTCAGATTTAAATTTCCCCAGTTGATACTAACCTCCAAAGACTTTCCTGAGAGCACCAACACCAACAGGAGAGCGCATGTAGATGTGACGAGCAGTCGCTGCAACACGCACCAGATACCAGTCAGGATCAAAAGGAGCAAGCTCCTTGAATTTGCCAGTCTGTAAAACATTTCTATGTTAAAAAACTGAATTTGCCAAGTCTTCAAAGAATTTTATGTTAAAAAGCAATAAAAACATACAAAAGACTACAATTTGTTCACTTGATCATTAGCCCCAAGGAAACATATTGTCACCATTTGTGTTAGACGATAAACATTAGAGGAATTTCAAATTGTTAAAATAACTAATCACCTTGACAATGTCAGACCACTCAGGCTGCTTCACTTTACCAGTCCTGTAAAATAGGAAGAGACTTAGAAGACCAAGCACAAATGTAATCAACTATCTTTTATTTCATACCAATGGATTTTTTTATTACAACCAGTAAAAGGTTAATGCAATATCCTTACAGAAGCATCTAATAATTTATGTGAACCAAAATTCTACAGAAAACCTGCAAAAATAGCTATAATTTTTCAAAATCTTCAACTTGCAAAAAATTCTAGTTTATTCCTATGGCTCCTAGTACTTTCATTGTGATAGAGCACCTAAATCACAAGGCAAACGTTATGTACATCAACACCACGACACTGCAAAGCAAAAGCTTGCCAGCCTAAATTGGCAGTGAGGAATTACTATCCCAAGAAGTAATTATTACCCTCCCTCTCGAGGAAGGTATACTCAAAATCTTGGGGATAAAAAATTACTTATAATTATCACACAGGCAACAAATAAAATAAATGGTACTTGCAGTCAGCTAGTCCAACATCCCTCAGCAAATGTCACACATAGTGCCAGTTGAAAGTAAATGTAAAAAGCTAAGCTCTTGGTCTATTGGAACAATAAGCTGTGATCAAGAAACAGCACAACAAGGCATGGAAGATATCATCTACATTTTGAACCATGACAATAGCTTCCTTCCCATTTCTGGAATTGACAGATACTAGCAAGATGAATCGTCTACTCTTTTCATTATGAAAAGTATGATTAAATGTTGTTCATGGTAAAATAATTTTTTTTGAATGGAATTTTTAAAAAGTAGGAAAATTTACTGTCAAATATAAAGTCTGTTTCCTAATATTACCTTTATAAAAAAAAACATCAGAACTATTACTTAATTGAAAATGTGTGATTCACATTTGTTAAAATTGCTCATAAGCTAACCTTCCCTGGCTGACGGTGCCTAGCACTGCTTTAGAGCACTGCCATATTTGTTGAAAAGCACTAAAATAATTGAGGCGGTACACATATGTACCATTCCATCCATGAGCAATTTGCTGTGGAACATGTATATACAACTCTTATCAGGGTGTGAAGCCATTGGGCTAACCCAATCCCAATCAGTGAAGACCCAAATGACAATGTCTTATAGTAACCCTAGCAATGGATCAACAATTAAACGAACTAGGCTCGGCACATTGCTTTGGATATACTTAGAAAGGTTGTAAAAATGAGTTTGATGATGGTACATTAGTATTTTCTCGTTTGTTACTTGCACTCACTTCTTTAAAAATTGAGCAAAAGCTCGGACGAAAACCTGTTGGTTCACATCTTTCACAGAGACGCTCGGCATTTTCTGTAACAAAAACAAGAGCATTATTATCATTTGGATACAAGAGCCTTAATGATTCTGGGAAAAAAAAACTATTTTAGAATAAATCCATCTAGCCAAGTAGCAACTCACTTTGATTTTTATTAGAAAAAACTTGCACATAACAAAAGTGTTACTTACTCCAAAGCCACAACTCAAAGCTTGAAATTAAAAAATGTAACACCAGCATATCTCCTTCATACAAAGTCCATTTCATGAATCAAGATTTGATCTCCATTTCATGATTTGTGATTTAATCTCAACTTTTGTTTAGAATTGGAATTTCTGAGCACATTGACCTGCAATCAGACTTTTAGGCAGAGTCCTCCACCCAAACTATGTTCATTTATCCTAGTATCAAATAAAATAATATGAACTTTGTTGGGAAGCTATAACATTCAGCCTGGAACTGTGCAACACTACTCATGCAAATACAAAAACAAAGGATCAAGGACGCCCAGAACTGCCGCATGCATATAAATTGTGATGGCCATTACTGATGGCTCACTACAAGCATTTTACTCATCTAAAAAATCTCTGCCATCTTCTTTATAACTGCTGCATATGAATAGTTCAACATCAATGATACCAAAGTCACCACAGTTGTTGAAGTCAGAAACCATCAAAAGCAGTGTTTTTGGAGCAGCAAGTTTTTATTTTTGAGCCGAGTCTATTTTTCCAGTTGTGAATTCCTTTTTCAGGCCCTAGAAAGCCATTTGAGCAACAAACTCATATGCCAAGGACATATTGTGCAAAACCTCTAATTTTACTGTAAAAGTAGCAACATGAACAATTTCTATCAGTTAGAATTTGAGCAAATATTTCAAACTTTCTATAGAGGAAACAATGCAGTTATAATTTAGTCAAAATGAACTACCCAATTGTCAATGAAACATTTTGGGGGACATTGTGTAGGATGTTGTGTGGAAGCATGGTGCAAACCATTTAAAAAATTTTAAATAGTTTGCATTACAAATACCACTAAATAAGTTCACAAAACAAAGTTTAAAATTTTTTGTAAAATGATATGTTCACAGACTGCAACATTTTTGATCAAGCCAAAATAAAGGCATGAATTTTTGTGTGTATAAGAAATTGCAAGATTTATAAAAAAAAGTTACCTCTACAGAAGGTTTATGACTCACGTAATGGTTTATGACTCACGTAATGGTGATGATGGTATTGTTGTGCAAATCTGACATATTGTTGTGTGTGTTGTCAGCAAATTTGGAATACCACTAAGATTTTTCCAAAATATTGCATGTAAATATTATCATTAGATAGGCAATCTTCAAAAATTACAAGCTAAAATGGGCCATTTTTATGAAAGAAATTAGGCAAAAGTCATAGAAACGGATAAAATTGACCACAAGCATGAGCATTTTCATTTCATTCATAAGGAGATTCTTACTGATTTCCTGCATGGCACCAAGCAAGGAATATTTCTACTTGGCAAGCCGTGACTAGGTTTTTTGAGCCATGGCTTCATGGGTTTGCCAGCCGTGATTCCATTTCTTTGAGCTGCGAATTTCCTATCTTGGCCATGATGAAAAGCAATTTACGAGCAGCGAACTTGTTATTTACAAAGTCCCTTGCACGTGTTACCCCATATCTCTAATGTTACCCTAAAAACTGTCACTAGCACTTGTCTTCACTAAAGCAGCAACAGAACAAGTGATAATGCAGTCTGACCAGAAACATTTCAAGTTGACTTGTTATTATGTTTTGCATGTTATTTAGGCTGGAGAAGGGCCACAGGAGCATTGAACTGATTAAAGTATTTATATTATATACTGCAGATTGTGGAAGTTGAAAATTTTATGAAATGACATTTTTGCAAAGTGCAAACTGCAATTTTTTCAATGAAACAAAAATTAATGATATTAGAGCCGCACTATTTTATACCTACTGAAATTGGGTACTGTAAAATGGGGTAACTTAGACCACTTTTTTTTATAAATGGTGCCATTTTTTTACTAGCTAAATTAAACTTGAATTGAAACATGCAAAATACAGGTCTATACTCTATTATATTAGGGTTTTTGGCTAGGTAAAACTAATGTAAGATTGTTTTAAACACTAATGATACACACAGGAAAAGGCCACAATTGGGGGATTGCTGTGTGTAGTAGGAAATGTGTGGCAAAAAGAAGAAGAAGAGAGAAAAAGAAAAAAAAAGAAAAAAGTATAGCGGCTGATCTGGTTAATACACAAACTATTTTATAGCTCAAAGCCTCAAACCACAATACTAGCTAGTAGCTAGCTAGGCTACCACAGTAACCACATGTGTATTATGGCTGACAAGAGACAACTCGTGACAAGTAGGTAGGCTAGCTAAGTACATTATCTCGTATCCAAATAGGAATACAAGAGAGCATTGTGCGGTTATTATTTGTTCATCTCGATTATTCTGAAATAATAAAACGTTGGTCCAAGCGCCAAGCGGCAATGCCTAGCTACGAGGCATTGGGTGATTGGCATTTTTATTTTGGCGATTTAATGAAGCACGAAGATATTTAAACAATAGTGCTTGCGTGTCAATTCAAATTATCATCCAAATTGAATTCAATCTATCATCAACGGGAACGGGATCCCACATCTATAATAGCTACCATAACTTAGAAGAAGCTTGAATTTGTTCTTCACTATTAGTATTAACAAAAGAATCGACGGGCGATTAAAACTCAAATCGAATGCAGTTTTGGAGGTGGAGTGCAAAATACCAAAAACGACTGGATAACGCAAATCATACGTAATTTAACAACAAATTCATACGCTCATATTACATATAAATTTGACATACAAAACTCACTTCAACTTGGTAGAGATCCTAGACAATGGCCGTCAAATTCAAAGGTTTTAGTTACACATCACTGCAAGCTTGCGGCTGAAAGAAGACGGTGAAAGAAAACAACTGGATGTTGCCACCGGACATAGGTGGATATGTTGGATCATAAGTTGAGAGTTAGCCTGTTTGCAAATACGCTAATTAATGTGTTAGTATTTTGTCCTTCGAATTGAAACTGTAGGCCTAATAAATGTTTATGACGTAATTATAAAATATTTACCATTTTGATTCGTTCGATTAGTTTTGTTAATTTTTTTTTATATTAACATGATATACAATCGAACGCGTTTTCCTGCAATATAGAAAACAAAATTAAGACAGAATTAACCAATATGATAAAATAATCTATGACTTCAAATATCAACTAATAATTGAAATGCTTCGCTTAGAATGTTAGGTCCATTTTAAGCTAGAGTCTAAAGTGAATGATTATACTATGCGCACTAGTTTTCAGCCTGAGGATTGGGTGTGAGGATTAATTTACATTTTTAAATAAAAACCAATCAGAATTATTTTGTCGAAGTGCGTTCGTGGACAAATATTTGCAGTACCTAAAGCTTCAATGAAGGGTGTCAGAAAAAAATATATATATATTCAACAATAAATGAATCAGCCTGACTTTTATGCCCACAGAACACCAATACCTTTAACATGAAAAATAAACAAATATCCTAAATTTACAATCATCTAAATTGATAAATTGGAGTATTGAAACATAGCACGTCACCTGAGCAGATGGTATATGAGCAAGAACCCTTTTTGGTCGCCAGGGTTGAACGTTTGACCCCATTTGATACTAAAAGCACATACATACATAATACTTGAACACACCGCTCGAAATAAGAGAGATGTCAGCCCTTCGCTGATTCTGGACGTCGTCAAAGTTTTCACAGCTTGCTCCAGTCTCGATCTTGCATATCAAAGCTCAAATATCCACTGCGCTTAACCGCCCGTCAATCGTACCGTTTTCGAGCAGAACTTACCACAGTTCGCAGCTGGTATCGAACCCAATGCTCCAAATTTGGTGCTCTGAACTGTAACCATTCAGTCTATCTTGACTATACATCAACAAGTAACAAGGCAAGGAAAAGTAAGAATGAAATTCATCAAACTTTATTAAACAGGCACCTCTCTAGCCTACGTAGTGAATATTACGTGGCCAGATTGGACGGAGGCACGCCCATGAGCTGTAAAATCTAAGAAACAAAAGCAAACAAATAATCGTTATCTATAAATTAATTTTTAAACATTTTTATTAAGACAAACATTTAAAATTTATGTAATTCAAGCTTGATTCGATCTTTGATATCAGTATATGACAAAAATTATATGTAAAAAAATTATATTGCGTTTCAGAGTTAAATGGAGGTCAACCATCAAATTATAATCGTTTAAAACTGGTACCGATGGGGTTGTGGAAAAAATAATACATATAGGAACAGAGTGTTTGTCTAAAAATGTGTTGCAAAATATTCTGAACATTGATGAACAATTTACACTAAGGAGTTCAGCTACCTGGTCGTAGCTTGCTGGCGTAATCAAGCTGACAAGCTCACACCGACAACAACGCGAGTAGCGACCACTTTACCGAGGGGTCAAGCCCACACTTCACAAATAATGCTCCTACTTGTGCAACGTGCTCCGAGTGTTGTAATTGTGGACAACGAAAGGAAAAAATATTTGGAACTTTGTTCTTGAGAATCGAAGGCATACACCACCCCACCTATTTCAAATGTTGAATTGTCATAGAGGCCAAACGGAGGCATGCAGGAATGTGTTTGAAACTCTCAACTGTACGACTTTTTGCAAGCATGCTTGCTTGCTGATAACTAATATAAAAACTCGTACCAACGGCATGTTGCAACCAAACATTAAATAAAAATCATATGCTACTTGGTAAAAAAAATTTACTGCTTACACTTCGACCTAATGATAACTACGAAAGTTGGCTCGCTAACGAGATTTCGCAGAAAGAAATTGAAGGGTGCAGCAAGCCAAAGCAAAATTCGTGTATGACCAACAATAACGGGAAATACCAATATCTTTAAACCATCGCACAAAATGTAAACAATTAAATCAGCGATTATATAAATGGAAGGGCGTGATTCACTCAACAGAGCTCATAGGTAAACCGTTATAAGAAGAAAACCAAAATTATTTTTTCACGATGAATAACTGGAAGGGACATTTTGAGGGCGGATACATAGAAACTACCTCGATGTTAAAGGATGCCAATATGCACTTTAAATTGGATTCCATTAAATGCTAAGCAGAAAGTTTCCAATAGTCGCGAGCATCGCTGAGCTAAACTAATCATGACATCAATGGAAAGTTTTGCTCGTAAACTAGGCGGTTTGATGTAAATTGACAAAGTAAACCAGTGGAACATGGGTGACATAAATTAAAATTCTCAACTTATGAAGAAAATCCGGAGCGGCGACAGCTGAGGCAGTCTAAAGCTTAGCTTTGGAATCAACAAAAGATGTTGTCTCAACATCTTCGTACGGCTTCACATGCGGGAAAAGTGGCAAATAGGCTTTGAAATCGCTCACTGACTGCACTTTTTCTGGCTGTAAGGAAACGGAAAATACATTATAAACAACATATAACAAACAAAAAGTATATATCAATAACGAGACATCTGACCAACAAGGCATGATAAGGCAATTCTCACAAAATAGAAATAATAGTTATAATAATAACACGTTTACTTAGTAAGGAATTTTTTTCAATAACGGTTGCTACAGAGATTGCTGGGAACAGTTCGGCTTTGAAAAATGGTCATTCGATTCCCAGCGATATAAGAAGAGCAATAAAAATTTTGCTCATACTTTATTATTTTAGTGTGAAGAATATATCCTTATTTCCTCGGCGCCCATACCTGAGGTAAGGCAGGCGGTGGTCTCAATTCTGCATCCTGGGGCGGGGTAGATGAGGGAGCGTCGCTCCCAGCACCTCCCTCAGCGCGGGACAACACCTGCACTGACAGCTTGGCGCGCTCCCGCCCTCCAGCAGCGATGTAGTTCTGAATTCAAAACGTTACAATATTAGAACTGCAGTCTGGAATACTGGTAACGTTGATGTATTGATGGCTGAAAACACATTTTTTTTAAAGCTCACTACTAATAGCTGGTACTTGCACAATTTTAAAGCACACTTTGATTGACCAATTGACCAATCACACTTTGATTTTTGCACAATTGATGAACAAAGAATAAAGACGAGGTATAAAATGTCATCATTTTCCCGGGTCATGGATAATTATTATTATTCAGAAACAAATCTCTTTGAAAACTAAATTTCGTGTACGTGACTTAGATAAATCTTGCGCAGGATTTTGAAACTACGTATAACAAGAAGAACTAACAACAAACTTAAGGTTTCAGACGTACATCAATTAATCATGTGAACACTGAGACTCAAGTCGTAAAGCGCTGTTATGCCCAAAATCAATTTTTTTCTTGCGTTCGTTACCGTACAATTTACAGAGGCAATCAAGTCCTGGCAATCATTTACACCGGGAATCGCCAGTTATACCAGACTGGCGTTTCCATCACGAATCAGAATTACGGACGAATTGCGCATTGCTCTTCAAACCTCCCTTTTAGGAGAGCAAGAGAATCAATCACCATGTAATGATCCACAAGCTCCTGTTTGGAGATGTTCCTCAAGCACTCGACTTCGACGTTCTCCCTGTTGAAGTTGTACTGATTACACACGATCTCCGTCCACCAGCGCATCGTGAGTGCCGACAGCTTCTTGGGCTTCTCAAGACGTCGGTCGATGAGAGCATCGCGATGACGGTTGAATTCTTCATCAGTGAGACTCGTCAGATGATCCTGAGGACGATTTCATGGATGAATGGGGCATATTGATTAGCGGAATATTGAAATGACCAAATAAAGAGTTTTAGTAGATGAAACACTGCGTTGCATAAATAACCAGAGCTACCATCAAGATTAAGCAAGAAAAAGGATTTACCATTAACAGGAAGAAGCAAGTCGCATCGCACCTTTGAAATATAGTATCATTTCACATCTCAAACCAGAGATAGCTTCAATGAAATATTATTGTAAATGATAAAAAATCTTTAAAAATTCGGCTATGTTAATAAGTGGGTACCTTCATCTTGTCAAGGAAAGCCTCTATCCTTTGGTCGAGATACTCGGGAGAGAAAGGGGACTGAACGATCACACGGAAGCCTTGAGTGCCGTGACTGCGACGCAGTCCGGACCAAACAATGTAGCCAAGCTGTTCCTGAAGACAGACAAACATAGACTAATAGTCTGCTAACGGATGTAGCCAAGCTGTTCCTGAAGACAGACAAACATAGACTAATAGTCTGCTAACGGATGTAGCCAAGCCATTCCTGAAGACAGACAAACATAGACTAATAGTCTGCTGACGAATTTAGCCAAGCTGTTCCTGAAGACAGACAAACATAGACTAATAGTCTGCTGACGAATTTAGCCAAGCTGTTCCTGAAGACAGACAAACATTGACTAATAGTCTGCTAACGGATGGAGCCAAGCTGTTATTGCTGAATGTATGCTGGCTCCATCAAGCATACACTGATGGAGCTGAATGTATTCAAGCTATTCATGCAATCAGAATTTGATTATCTGATATTTTATTATCTGCATCTAATGAAATCTGAGAATTAGGAAAGTCCCTGACCTAAATTGAGATTAAAAATAATTAAGATTCATATGGGATTGAACAGAAAGCAAATCCCAAGAAAAAAGTGAATGAAACAAAGGTAGATGTACGTACTTTGGTCCTGAGATCATCATAGGCAGGTTCGTGTAAGATCTGAGAGACGAGCTCGAAGAGAGCATTTTGTTTGGTGCTCTGAAGGTCTCCTTGCAGTACCAACTCCACGGCAGAGCTCAGATGCACGTCATTATAAGCTTCGTATACGTAGCTGCTGCCTGTATGTTGAGAGATCAGATATAAAACGAGAACAAATTCATCAACTAATTGTTAAGAGAAACATTAAAAACAATCTAATTTATAGATTATTTAACGTAGCAACAGAAAACGTTGGCCAAATACTTCGCTCCTCAGTTTATTAGAGCATTTCAAACATCAAGTGATTCTGCAACACGTACAAGAACACGTCAGCCTGTTTACAGAGAGAAGTACACCAAAAATTTAGGTGAAGACTTACATCACAGTAGATTCGTGTCGACACTTTACTTATTTTCACTCAATAAATGACACTATAATTATTACGACTGAACTGTATTGTAGATATAATGATGTAAGTAAGCGATTATGAAACGAAGTGTAAATTTAAATGAGTTGTTTACCGATAAATTTATACTGTCAATGCTATTTCTGTCTAAGTTCCTGGAAAACTTGGCTTTCGGCAACAGAGAATGGGATTAAACAGCAAAATTCCTGAAGCAAGTAAATCTGATTAAAAAATGATTACTAGCATATCTCATTAAGTAGGCAAGAGCTCAATAATAACCTTTAGGAAGTTTGACCTCTCGCTGTCTGTGCAGCTGCGACCCAATAAGATGGCGAGTGGGGGGGTCGCGTTCCTGGAGCGGCGTGGTGACGAGTGCAGCAAGCGACAGCGCCCAGTCCCGCGACACGGACCCGTGCACCAACAACGACACGTGCAGCTCACTCAGGAACGACTTCATGAACGTCTCCAGGGCAGGCACTGTCAAATCTAAGGAAAACTCTTTCATCAATATTCTACAACCACTAATTTGGGACCTATGAAAGAGAGGCAAAATTTTAATTAGTGTTGTTTATGCTTAGGCGAAAACCTATTCTTCAACACCAAAGATATTATACTCACAAATAAGACTCGACGACCAAATTGAAATTGTCAAGTAACATCCAAGGTACGTACTGGATACACGAAGCAAGCCACTCAAGAGATCGGGTGCTGCAAAGTTTTAAACAAAGAGTAATCTTAAGATGAAACTAACCTTGTTTAGCAGCTTGCAAAAGGTCCTCCTTGCTCCAGCCAAACTGTGACATGAGCAGCGAGGTGTAGTACACCACGTGCTGGTGAGGCTGGTCAGCGCTGAAGTTGCACAGTCCACGGATGTACTGCATGAATTTGAAAAAATTTAACCCTCAATTCAGTCGGCCATTAATTAAGTTAATCCTTCATTCATCTCTTACGGCAAACATATCATTGAAATTCAACATGAATTCCGTCGCAAACGAGTTCTTTCTACCTTACATCGAATAACAAAAATAGAAAAGTTATGAAGAGTTTCGAGGGTAAGGATTTCAGTTCCCAGAAGTGAGTGGTATTGGTTGAAGTAAAATTGTTTGAAATTTGGCCAACAGAAAAAATTACAGATTCAAGAGGCAAGGTTGGTTGTATAACTGAATAAATAATTGTGAACATCTATCGGTGCCACTGCTGTCGGTTAAATAAACTCCTTCACTCACGTTTTCTTTGAGGATCTCAAACCTCTTCGGGTCAACTTTGAAGTTCATGAGCTTCTCCATAATCTTGCGCACAAACACCGGCTGCTTGTCAGAATAGCCGCGCACGTTCAACTGAAAATACATTGCTATGTTAGTGTAAATAATTTAGCGACACACATCAATCAAGGATCGAATGCGAAATAAATAGTAGTCAAGTATTGCCATGGTTATTTAAATCATTCTGCAACTCAACATAGCTCAGACATCCAAAAACTTCTTAAAAATAAGAGGGTTAGAACAAGAAAAAAAAAACGCAAATCGCTATAAAGCTTATTTCTTGGCACAGCAAGAATTTTTCACAGAAAAGACAATTCGAGAGCAAAAGGCTGTTTCTTTATGTAGCATTTGGCCTTGCATCAAGATTCGTATTTTTTTAAATCCGGTCCCACTAAAATACAATCAAGTTTCGCATAGCAGCTAGTCTCGTAGCAAATGCACATATGAAGGAGTGCAAATAGCCGTACACCAGCAAGTCATCTGGAAGAAAACTGACGCAAGAAATGTCTGGTCTCACCGTAAGTCCATACTTGGAGTTATTGAGAGAATATTCAAGGCTGGTAAGCTCTGCGTCGTATGCGTACTCGGTGAGCGCGTCACGGTACATCTGAGCAAACATGTGCAGCAGGTTTGTGTTCTGAGGGTCCAGGTACGCGATCGGGCTGCACACACAATTGCTCCCGTTAGGTGCAGAAATCAAAACAGATTAATGAAAAACATCAGCATTACTAAGCTCCGGATGGCCGAGTTGATAATCAAGATTGAAGCAGCGAATTGCGGGTTCGAAACCCCCAAACTGTTGCAAAAAAATATTCTGGTTTAAATTGGCTAGGAAGCCAGGTGGCAAGGAATCCGCTCCAGACCAACATTATCTAGGCATAAACTGACACAATATTTGTATCATCATTTTATTCCTTTGTACACTCTTACATATTCACTCGTATCTTATAAAACCAGTAGCTATTACGTTTGATCCATAGTATGTAAAAAGGGCACAAACATGAAGCATGATGGTTTAGCAAGCATTATGGATATTTCCAAACAGAATTTCTCTCTGAATGAATAATGTTACTTTATTTCGGTGATAATAATAGGCAAAATAGAAATGCAAACAATATATAGGCAAGCTGCAGGAAATAATAGAGTTAATAATGAAAGCTTATCACGAACCAGGGCTATGCGGGCATAATTTCACTTTACACGCCTGAGGAACAAACTTTTGCTATGTGAAACATCCGTTCCCAATGGGAATATCAGAGCAATGAAGCGTAGAATGACTGACCTGAAGAACTCGGCATACATGTTGTTCTTAGGAAGTTTGTACTCAGTGTCTTGCTTGAACCAAACCGTCATCAATGGCGTGCTCAAGATCTTCTCAGGCAAGACCGTTACTCCATCCTGATAAGAAATTTTTTCGTAAGTGTAATTCATAAATTAGATGGCATGATAACACTGTTGCTGTATAAAGACTCCTGCAACACAAAACTCTTTCTTCTTTATGGCATAACTCAAAACAAAAAACTCTTTTTGAAGGGTTTGTAGAAATTAAATCAAGAGTTTTGAACACACGCTATTGAAACATAAATGGAAAAATGTAAATTTACAGAGAATTCTAAATTTAGATAAAAGGGTTCGAGTACAGATTCAACGGCATAAAAGCTGGAACAGATCTCACACTTTCGGGGCATAATTCGAGATTCTGAGGAATGAAAGGGTTTGGCTTGGGCAGAGAGAAGGCTGGGTTGTGGCAGCACCCCTGCCACACTTTCAGTGTTTCATCAGGAACATCCTCCAGCTCGTACTGCGTCCCGTACCATTTCTCACTTTTCGTAGCTTTTGGTGCTAACTGCAGTAAAGAAAAATAAGTGAAAAATAACTATTTAAGGTAGTTACTAAATTGAAGAATGTATAAACGATCAGTCATAAATAAGTCATTCATTCTTCCCATTAAGCCGTTGCATGTCATAAATTTAACGCTCTAAACCAGGTCAACAGTACATGAATATAGGAGACAATTAGGTGAGCATGAGAAGGTAGAGCCGAAAGTTCGGTTCATTAATAAATAAAATTAGTGAATAAGCTTTGAAAATATTCGGTTTGTTGTCGTGCAATGTTTTAAATCATTCACCGAGATATTTACTCTTGGATATGTACCTGCTTGCCAACAACAGCAAGTCTGGCGTTCTGAGGAGTGAGTTGCTCCAGTAAGGACATGATGAGAGCTTCGTCAAACTCTGTGAGCAGATACGGACCACTCAGCACCTCCTCTGGCGGGTAGTACTGCAGCAAAAGCAAATTAAGAAGCGATGGCATGGCTATTCTTCAACAGTTGCGTTGTTCACAGAAGAAAGATTAAAATGTTTAAAAGACGTTTCTCTGACAGCGTACATGATAATTCAAATAATCAACGGTGACGGAAATTCTTCAGTTAAAGAGCCCTTTGTTTAAGAACAAAAAAGAACCATTTACATTAAGGTATCAATGCTATTTGTATTTAAAGGCCAGGTAACATTAGTTACCTCAGGTAGCCACGAGGTTAACTAAATTAAGTTGAAGATGCGTAAAATATAAACAATTTTATTGCTCAGAAAAAGCTTTTCCAGTGAAAATAAAAATAACGCCAAGATAGCCAATAAAATTTAATAATACTTAATAATATGCGTGCAATTAGGTCGAGTTTTAATCACAGATTCCTCTGAAAATGATTTTTTCAGACAGATTCCTCTGAAAATTGCAGACAGCTTATACACAAATTTTTTAACCGTAAACCTGTGTATTAGGGTCAACTGATATGAAGTCAACTGTAGCATTATAGCCATTGTATCTACTAAAAATTTTTAACCATTTTCATGCATATGCCTCACATAAAGTGACTCGGAAATACTCGTGACGTAGGACTGCGGACGCTCCTTGTCTTTGAACCTGAAGGAGATGGAGCTCAGCTTCTGCAGTTCTTCAAATATCCACTTCTGCGGTCCAGATTTACGTAGCAAGTTCAGAAACTGCGATCAAACATAAAAATTATGTAGTTTTGACACCTAAAATACCTATCTGTTTAAAAATTAATTTTTTAAAACAACACTTCTAAAGATTCCAGTGTCTCCAGTGATACACATGTACAATGAATTTCTAATTTTATTATGAAATACAAGAAATTAATTTTTTAATTTTTGTAATTAGAATTTTTTTCTAATTTTTCAAAATTATTTATTCTGTCAATTGAGACGTGCATTGTCTCCGACTTAATGCAAGTGTGAAAAATTTCAGATCGCTTGGACAGGTGGAAGTGTGTTAAATATCTATTATAAGTTATGTAATACGGTATACAATTTTTTTTTTCATTTATTTTAAGGGGATCGTCTGGGTCCAGGAAACACTTCTACATTTATTAACCAATCTTCCTGAAATTTCACACTCATACGAAACTTGTAAAATAAAAAAAATTTGCTTGTACGAATTTTTCGGAAAAAAAATAAAAAAAAAACGAGAAATTACTAGAAAACGTCAAAATAGTAAATAAATATAATAATAAAAAAATTCTAACTTTTGCAAATCACAAGCTACAATATCGAGACACATATCATTCGATTCGTAACAACATTATCTAGCGACTCTAGTGGCCCGATTTTTTTATTTTCCTCATCGTTTTTCTTTTACGTGCGTTTTTCTCAATTTTTACACATTTTCCCCCCTTCCCTCACCCATCCCACATATATAAGTCAAACCATGCTCGAATTCGAAAAAGGGCTTCTAGAGTCGCTAGGTATGGTCTTTACAAATCGAATGGTATGTCTTTCATGGCAGTAGCTTAAAAATTGTTGGAGTTATTACATTTTTAAGAGGCGTTTTTTGGATTTTTAAAATTTTTCAAGGAAGCCAATTAAAGTAAAATTCATTGAAAAAAGAAGAAAATGAAAAAAAAATACTTGATATTGTAGCCCAAGCTTTTCCATTGCCATTTATTTGCTTTCAGGGTACCAGCGCGCGTCTTTAGACTTATTTATGTCCAGTTTAACGTGAATAATAAGCTATAAATGGAACTTTTTATGTATATATGCATATATAAAATATTCATTTTACATAATTTTACAACGGCATTATGCAAAAACTATTGCATTTACATACATGGTAGCAGCTTTGTTGAACGCGTCTTGTTTGTAGCTTTCAAACGAGTGCAAAGACTTTGCAATTAACGCAAATAATGATCTATAAATACTATTTTTAAATGAAAAATTTGTAAATATAGATATAAAATGGTCATTTTATAAAGTTCGAAACAGCCTTGCGCAAAATCTATTGCACGTACATCCCTGATAGTAGTGTTTTTGTTGAACGTGCTTTGTTTGTAGCTGTCAAACGAGTGCAAACACTTTGCAATTAACAAGCATAGTGAGCAATAAATTCAGATTTAATTTGAAGAAATTTTTGTACATATTGTTAAAAAATGTTCATTTTATATATTTTAAAAAATTCTAGAAAAAAACTAGAGCACGCACATGCATCCGGATTGCTGCGTTAGACGCGACTTTTCAGCAACTACAAAATGAGCCAATAAAACAGAAAAACCAAAATTTTCGATTTTTGACCCAGACGATCTCCTTAATATCAAAAATAAAAATTTTCAAATTTTCAAAATTATTTATTCTGTCAATTGATTCATGCATTGGCTCCAACTTTATGCAAGTGTGCAAAATATCAGATACTCGGTGGTCTCTAGTGAGTATCTATCAAAGTGAACACTCAACAGGCTAATATAGAGTAGACATATATTCCCCATTTAAATAGGTGACTTCATTTAAGCAGCGTCAAAGCAACAGAGCAGCTCAGAGAGAGAATCCCTTCCTTTAACTATGGGATCAATTTTTCAGTAAACTGACTTGGAAGACGGCGACGGTGATGTCATCAACATGGTTGATGCCATCCTCGGTGAGATCCACGTTGACGCAGAAGAAGGAAAAGCCCCTGGCGCCGCTCTTATGCCCCCCCACCAGGGAGTTGACCCAACCCTGGTTCTTCAAAAACGACAATAGCGATCCTTTGCCTTCGTGCCCAATTATATGACCGAGGTAGTGGCCAGGCTGAAAATTAGAAATAAATGCAAAATGTGTAAGTAGAATTTATTAATGTACAGAGGTAACGATCATGCAATCTAGAAGTTAATACGTAAATAAACAATGTATGCCAAGAATACACAAAACAAGTCTCATGAGATAATCCATTAAAAAGAATAATAATGAAAAGCAAAATAAGAAAAGGCAGATAAGTCAATGAACAGAGCATAGATAACCAAAACAATCACACCCAGATTACTATGCCAGTATCCCAGTGGTGCTGCAAGTATTTTATTGCAGATTAGGGACACAGAGCAAGCAAATTCAACCAGCAACCGTGCACAATGTCATTACTTACTCCAGATCTGCAATGTTCTCTGATAAACCAGCAATCCTGCACAATGTCATTACTCACTCCAGATCTGTAATGTTCTCTGATAAACCAGCAATTCTGCACAATGTCATTACTCACTCCCGATTTGTAATGCTCTCTGAGGTCAGGCAGAGGCCAGGTGATGTGCAGGTGGCGGATGTCCTTGACAGGAACGATGTAGCCGGTGTGGGGAGGGCCAACAAACGGATGCTCTGGCCAGCTCGGTATTGTGATGTTTTTGTTCTCAACATCACTGAAGAGGTCAACGGTTAGCTCTTCCAACTCGTCCAATGATTCTGGAAAAGACCTGGCATTAGATCAAATTTTAAAATATTGCACGTGATTGCAGAGGATGAATGATCATCGTGCATTTTGGAAGTACTGACACGATCGCAAAAAAAGCTATGAAAAATTAATCGAAACTAGTCTATTATGGTACAGAAAGTAGAAACTACATTGTTGAAATAAATTTCCGGGGTTTAGAAAGAGCCCAGTGCAAAGCTTTAAAAAACAAGTTTTCGTTGAAATCGATTTCTTCACTCAATGGCTATAAGAACCACATCTTTACTACCTGGTTATTTGCACCAAATAATTTGTTGAAATTTCTACTCTTTCTCAAACAAACCAATCATACAAAGAATCATGCCTATATTATTTATCTATAGTAAGATGCAGATGCATCATAATTACAGTTTAATCAAATGCCACCTTCATCACAGCCTCCTCATATCAAACCTTGTGTCAAAATCTTGAAAGCTATATTAAGCCTTAGTTTCTTCAAGCTTCAAGATCTAAGAATGCTAACTTGAAGAGCGACCAGTAAAAACAAATATTATGTTTCACATTAACACTTAAAATACTGTCTTTGTTTCACCTTTGCCAAGAATGCAGAGGCCCATGGCGTTAGCAGAATACCACTGATTATGGAACTGAAGGAGTGCATCTCTTACACTATCGCCCCTCTGAATGGGCTCATCAAAAAGAGTGGACTGGAAAGAGGTTATCATTAATAAGTGACAAAACAAACAAATTCAGAATATGGCATTTGTACAGAAATATTCAAATCAGACCTTAACTGCATCAAGCCTTTGCTTCAAAAAATTCCTCTGATAAGATCCAAGCTCAATTCCTCACATCCTACCTGAAAATCATTTGTTAATTAATTAGTACCATATTGCCGGTGCCAAACTTGGAGTAAGGATGAGTAGAGCTGCAGGTGCTTTTCTCAAGCTGACCCAAGCGCCAGTAATCGTTAAGTACATTTTTCTCATGTTCTGAATGCACAGCCTTGACTTCCCGTTCCACGCAGCTCTCGGTGAACAGGGGACAGAGAAAGAACTGAGCAAATCTGAGGGAAAAGAGCCAATACTAAAAATACGAATAGGATTGACTAGGAAATATGTCAAATTTATTCCTTTCATTTTCCAGCACATTTGTATATGTACCTATATAAAACCAAACCATTTTTTACCATTCCTTCAAATAGATGCATCTCTTTTGAATGTTCCACAAATACAGATTTTTAAAACGTTGTAAACTTTAAGAGTGTTCATAAATTAGGAGTATACAGCATCAAGTCTTTTTTCCAGGAATATGGATGATTGCATATTTAAAACATGTTACTATTGAGAAAATAGATAGGAAAAAAAAAACAGCTGAAGCCTTGGTACGGATTAAATAAGGGAGTTTGACCATTTAACTCACCTATCTAGTGCACCCTTGAAGGCATCAGGAGAAACATCAAAGTAGTAGTTGGTGTGATCTGATGCTGTATATGCATTACTGCTGCCGCTGTGCTCTGAGAGATACTTGGTGTACTCATTCTCACTGGGATACTTCTCAGTGCCAAGGAAGAGCATGTGCTCACAGAAATGTGCAAGACCAGGATACTCCCATGGGTCACTCATTGATCCTGTCAATTTTACTTTCAAGTAACATACTTCTTGCAAAGCATTGCGAGAAATTTCACAATATCCAATTATAAATGTGTGAATTGCAATATCAAAAATCTCAAAATACAAAGCTCAGGTTAGGATAAAATTAATCATTAGTCACGTAAAATTGCAGAAATTAGAAACTTAATGAGGCATGAGCACTGGTTTATAAACAGAAGTCTAATTTAAAGTTCAAACTTGGATGGCAATGCTGGGTTGGTCCAGATTATTCAAATTTAAAAATCAGGCAGCAGTCACTTTTCGTTGAGCCAAAATCATCCATTCTTATTGTCTATAACCAATTATGTTATCAGGTAAACAGGCAGGTTCTAAACATTATTTAAAAAAAAAATTATTAATATATGTGTTTTTACTGGCAATATTCAAACTATCTACCTTGCTTTCCAAGTGCATCAAGATTTATAGCAAACATGTACACAGACAAAGGAAAACATTTTATTTTCATAATTACTATAAATTTAGAAAATAAATTTGCATTCATTTCTATTGAGGGATGACACAAATTACACTCTTACCAACATGCACATCCAAAGAGGCAGCAGATTTATCAGTAGTAGGATCAGATATCAGAAAGACTTTAAGGTTATTCTTGAGCTTCAGGAAGCGGTAAAGTCGTTTGTCCTCACAAGACCGCAAGATTTCTTTCTCCCACCGTTCAGCCACAGCATCTTTGCCCATAGTTGCAGATGATGACCTGCAAAATTGTAAATAAAAAATCAGACATATTTATGCCAGAAAACCATCATGACATAGGTATATATCATAATCAAATTTAAACTAAACATTTATGTATGGCATTATTTTTGCCATGCATGAAGAGAACAAAAGAAATAAATTCAAGGATTTAATTGAACTAGTTGAAGTGTTGAACTTGAGAAAAAATGTACCATGTGACATGTAGACGATGTAGTTATATTTGCTAATATTTTATTAATATTGATGGAATGATGGTAATTGGTAAGTTTTATTGAGCATGATATGAGTTTAATTAGATAGTCATTCATAATTCATTCAAATTTTCTACTTAAATATTGCAGCTCTGATCTTGTGCATTTTGGATGAAGTTGAAATCTAGTGGTTAAATCATGCCATTTTTTTTGACAATTAGGTAGGTAGATAATTCAACAAATGAAAATCCAATTATCCAAATTACAACTCAAATCATCTGATAATTTAATGACATTAAACTTAAAGACATGACCATGGGCCATAGGGCATGAACTCATGGCTTGGATTTATGTCTTTATTCAAGAATCAACTGAATCATGAAGGTGCTCCTGCTAAAGCTGGTCACTGCTGGTGAGTGGTGAGTGACTGGTGACCCCTGTTGAGTGTTGGCTGACATTTAGAGAGAATACCTAATAAATTTAAACATGTTCAAAAATCAAAATCACAACAACCAATTTGAAAATTTGACAACTCACCTTATAGTGGAAAAAGAATTTGCACTTGTATTTCTAAACAGATGGAATGAAAATTTTGTAGGATCACCTGCGAGAACAGATTTTTTAAGTAACATTTGGCCAATGTTCAACACTGGGCTTCTGGTGCATTGCAAGATTTTGACTATAAACATTCCTGTCACATATGAAAATATATAGGTACCACAATCACAATGTTTATCTTTGAAATAACTAGCAATCTAACTATTTTTTTGTTTACATCAAGTTAACAACACAAATTTTTTCCAAATTGCAAACTAAATTGCCAGAAGGCAGAAGCCTGTAATAGTATCATCATCATGATAGGTACCTACGGTACCTACATTGATATGATTCAATTGAGTGAATCACCAAAATTTATCAGAACAAAAAAATGGTAGCTTAACCTTAAGGTAAGGATTTACACTCCAGTTCTTTCATTTAAAACAATATGCTACTGCTAGCCTATGATAGTTTAAGTTTAATTAGGGCTAACCCAAAATATGATTGAGCGTTAAAACCTAAATATGAGCAAAAGCATAGTGGCATTATTAGTAGAAGACGAGGATTACTAGCGGAATAATGTTTACAAGTTTACAACGAAACTGATAGTTGTCAACTATCAGTTTCGACTTTCGAGTAATGACAAGTACTATCAAGCTCCGGGCCTACGGCCGGGCCCGGCATCGAAATTGTTGATATACTGCTCCAGGGGAGCAATCATGAGTTCATGACAGCAATGAATTTCAGTTCCACCAGAGCTGATTAAAGCATCCCATGAAATAATCCCCTCAAGGCTCAAATTACTATTATTTATTATTATTTCTAGGAATACCATTATTATTATTTATTCCGTTTATTCCATTAATATTCAGCTGTTGTTGACAGCGACTTGTCTGATCACTTGATGACGTTCTTTCACTTTGAAACAAGATTTCCGTTTGTTTCACTTCTGAGGAAAATTCGCGTGATTAATGATGGAAATCATGGTATGGAAACATTCATAAGTTCAAGGAAAACATGAGACTTTTTCCATCGGCATTTCTTTCAAATATTAACGAACTTAATGCAGACGTGCACTACGTCTCGGACAAAAACGCGGCCTCTCTCACGGCCGGTCTCGCGGCCGTGATTCCAAATTCAGTGAGCGTGGAATATCTCGCAAAATACTGAACGTAGCTTGATGAAACTTGGTACACATAATCATTAGAGCCTAACGGTGATGTTTAGCTCGTGACAATTTTTCAAAATTCGCCTTCATTCCTGAGTTATATGAATATACGTGGTGAAAATTGCATTGAGCGTGACATTTCTTCTAAAGTACTGTACAGATTTGAATTAAATTTTGAATATAAATTTCTCAATACCCGACTCAAGTTTCATCAAGCTACGTTCAGTATTTTGCGAGATATTCCACGCTCACTGAATTTGGAATCACGGCCGCGAGACCGGCCGTGAGAGAGGCCGCGTTTTTGTCCGAGACGTCAATGTTGGCACTCCTATATATCGGAACTTTCTCAAATTTATAAGGAATCATTTCCCATAAAGTTTGTATCACTAAAAAAACATAAGCCTCCTTGGGCGACAGCTGAAAATAAATCTGCTATTAAGAAGAAACATAAGCTTCTGAAGCTCGTCGCTCTGGTGTAATTCTTCGTTGATCATATGCCACTTATCGAAATGTCCTAAATTAATTAATCAAGGCGGTCAAGAAGTAATAATTCTACGCAGCCAAAATCGAGCAGGCATCGAATGACTCAAAAGTCAAAGGTTCTTTGGAAAATTGTCAACAACTTGCTTGTAAAAAATGTTGTTAAAAAAAATTTAATTGGTAAAAAGTAATTAGATAATTTCCGGTACCGGTGCAGCAACTGAATTTAACAATTATTTCATCTCTGTTGCTAATGATATCACAAAAAATTAGGTCCTGTGAACGATAATTTGATGAATGAAATTCCCTCCTGTGAGGCATCCTGCTTCCTTTTCCTACTTCTGAATTTGAGATAAAGCAAATTTTACGACTGTGCAAGGGCGAAAAACTTCAGGTCGATGAAATTCAGCCAAGAATATTGTATCTTGTAGCTGATACTGTAGCGCCAGTCTTATCAACGGTAGTGGAAATAAATTTTCTTTTTCAACTTAATTTCTTTCATAATTATGGTTTTGAATTTAATTCAAATCAGAAAAGTACATGGGTAGAAATCTCTTGGATTTACTTCATGCTTTACTTAATGGTGATTTATTTTGGTGCTAAGAAAATTTCATTTGGAAAATTTACTTCCATGGCCGACGAGGCAATCAAGCACGCGGGACAATTTGATATTCTGGGCTAGACTTACTGAGACTTGGAGAAGAGGCAGGTGCATTCTGGCTCAAGTGCAGTCAGATTTGCAAGCATCCGGCTACTTACTCAACTGTCGGAAGAGCTTCAAGCTTCCGAATACTTATAACTGCAGCGAGTGCTGCAAGCTCACGATTACTTGCTCAACTGCAAGTGTCCGACTACTTGCACAACTGCAGCAAGGGCTGAAAGCTTCGGACTACATACTCAACTGCAGCCAGTGTGGAGGTAGCCTTGCTCTTTTACTACTGCAGCCAGAGTGGGAGGTAGCCTTGCTCTTTTACTACTGCGGCCAGTGTGGGAGGCAGCCTTGCTCGTGCACTACTGCAGCCAGTGTGGGAGGCAGCCTTGCTCTTGTACTACTGCAGCCAGTGTGGGAGGCAGTCTTGCTCTTGTACTACTGCAGACAGTGTGGGAGGCAGCCTTGCTCTTGTGCTACTGCAGACAGTGTGGGAGGCAGCCTTGTTCTTGTACTACTGCAGCCAGTGTGGGAGGCAGCCTCGCGCTTGCTCAACCGCAGCCAGTGTTAGGGTACGTACACAGTGAAAGCCGGTTTGCCCGCGCGGGCAACCTGCTACAAGAATGAACATAGGATAATAATGTAAGTGTTCACAGTGAAAACCTGTACGAATAGGCTTCTGCCGACTGCCTGCTTATACCTATTTACCGGAATGTACTGCGCATTCTTATCTGCTCAACCTGCTTGGCATATGGTCATTTTTTAATTAGTTGTACCTTTAAGCCCTGCATTTTCTTTGTTTCTTTGCTGATTATCAATTGACTGAATAAATAGTTTTGAAAATTTAAATTTTTTAAATATTAAATACAATTTTAAAAATTATTATTTTTTATTTGTTTTTAATAAAATTAAAAATTCATTGTACGTGTGTAACATCAGAGAAACTGGATTTTTTAGAAGTGTTGTCTTTAAAAATTAATTTTTGAACGTATATTATTCATAAACAAGTTGGAGTCTATGATTAGGTCGCAGCTGGTTTCCTGCTTCCTCTGTGAACACCCTCTCGCGCTTGTTTCAGGCGCCAGCCTCAGCAGGTAACCAGCACGCTGGCAACCTGCTTTCACTGTGTACGTACCCTTAGAGGCAGTCTCGCGCTTTCTTCGCCTGACGCGAATTAATGACGGTTGCTGGCTTAACTTGGAAGTGGGGGCTTTCCCGCAATCCTCATCCATCTTTGGCTCAAACGCAAACGTTTTTTACTCCCTCGCTTGCATGGGCCGACACTTCACCGGTGCCTTGTTACAATGTCCTGATAATGTAGTTTTTGTTTTACGTGCCTAGTGCTTGACTTCTTCCTTTAAAGACAAATTGAATATGTGTGTAAAATATTGAATCCGTACTTCTCTCCGTATTTTCCGTCTCTTTATTTCAATTTTCCTGAAGTTGAGGACGATTTCGAGAACTTCTAAGTTTCATTAGGAAATCAAACTTCATGCTGTCCGTAAGTTGTAAATTATTAATGGAGCAAACAAAGCTGCAAATTTCATTGAACTAAGAATTGGGGGAAATGAATAAAATCCGCACTCAAAAGTAAGTCAAAGAAATTTATTGTATTTATTGTTAAGGGAACAAAAGAAGAGTGACGAGAGAACTTAAGTACAGACATGACATCACTTCAACATTGCATTTATTAGTATCTATCGTATGTAGGAGCTTCGACATGAATGAAAACCCTATTCAAATTGTCAAATTGAAGAGAACCGTTGTCTAGTAACTCTAGTTCATTACATATTTCCCGCACCTTCTTTCGCGTGCAGCAGCCATCATTTAAGCGCTTCTAAGTAAGCCTTGGAGCAAAATTATTGCATCTACATTTATCATTCAGCAATTCAGATGTGTCGGTATGCCTAATCTAAAATAATAGTCTACCTAAATAATTTTGTGAACATTAATTTTAATTCTTATTTTTTTTTCGCACAAAAATATCGTCAAATCCAAAGTAATGGGGCCTGAATGTAAGTAGCTATACATAAATATTCTTACAACTAGCCATTACTAACTTGAATATGATCAGAAGTCATCGGGGGCTCAGCCCAATTGTCTTTAAAACTTAGTGATGCATTCTTTGCCTATGTCATACTCGAAGGCCAGCGACTATCGAAGTGTAACTAATAACCAGATTTTCTCTAGGCAGGATAGCATGAAAACTACTACCCAATTAACAGATATGGATATCCCCATCAACTTTGTAGGTAAAATCCAGATACGAAAAGAAACGTGGTCCACACAAAACCAATGCACAAGTCCACAGGCAGAGGTCCAATATGGCACTACCCAACGAACAGATATGGATATCCCCATCAACCACGTAGGTAAAATCCAGATACGAAATGTACCGTGATTCATATAATCTGCGTACAGGCGCCGTTCCAATGCCAGGTTACAAACACATAAACAGACATTTAGGAGAATCGCTGGGAGGCTTCAGGTATACCCAATCCAACAATCGTAAATCTACCCACTTGCATAATCTACACACAGGTATACAGGTACACTGACAGGCTCCAACCAAACAATTTAACACTATAAAATCACTACTTATGGTTTATTTTCAACTTAATTTATTCGAGGTTGGAATACAGCACAAAACTTGTTGTATAGAAGTACTTATATTATCAGTCTGCTTGTGATTGTATTCAGTTTTAGTTTTTCGAACTGATGATGGAGCTGGACTCCGAAACGTTTTAATATCGATATGGTGAATTTGCTTGGCGTTTTCTTTGTTTTTAAATTCTTTGTTCTATATTAAGTTATGATGAGATTCTAATTCATGATTCATTCTTCCCTGTATATGAAGGAAGAATGAATCATTATTCCATGAATGAATCAT